ACTGAGTTTGACATATATTTTAAAAATATATAAAATTGCACTACCAAAAATAATTTATTTAGATTTGATACATATCGTACAAATTTGAAATACTGAAAAAGTTTAAGGCAGTAAAATCCAACTAGAATTGATTGATTGTAAAAAAATTACTTTATTATAATTGACATGTATATTTATACCTACGTAATCGATTGTTTGCGAGCTGATTAACATATTCTCCAAATAATTTTTAAAATTTGAAACTATATTTGAAAGAGTATGTAATTATCAATATATAATCGAAAAATATTAAACAAATAAATTAAAAGTGAAATTTTTTATTTTGCTAATTAATAATTATAATTAAAAATTAAATCTAAAAATTATATTTAAAAATTAAATTTAAAAATTAAATTGAAAAATAAATCTATTGTAAAAATGATACATCTCTTATTCTTTCGCTTTTCAGATATCTCTATAGGCGTCATATTCTACGGTATAATTAGTATTAATAATTAGGAATTTGACACAAATAAATAAATCAAAATTAAATAAAAATTGGCATAAGAGCCACAGCGCGATAGTTGAGGCGTAGAGGAAGGAACAACATTTCCTTCATATTGATTGTTGTTATAATTAGATTGATTAGTAGATTGATATAATTAGTGTTTCTGGATCGTAATTATGTATATAGATACTATCATATACGATGAGAAGGGTCAGTTTGTTGCGCATAAAGGATAATGTCTGTTGATTGCTTGGTTTAGCGCCTTTAACCCTTGATCGCTTGACTTTGCATTAACCGGGGTCTCGGTGTAATCAGCCGTTAAGCTATCTCTACCATATTAGACTCTATATCCGTGTTAAGATTACATCTAAATAGGCATCATGCGGCTCTTTCCCACCTTCCTAAAATAGCCTGAAAAACAGATTGCTACTTAAATAGTAGTTAAACACTGACATTGAATTCTAATCACTCCCAGATCCGCGCGATGTTATCGAATTCGAGATGATTTCCGGAAGGGGCTACCTTTCCCTTTTTTTTAATCTCTTTTTAATGGCCAAGCGTATGATTGGCAAACTGGCAACATGAGACTGGGCAACGCAATCATCATCAACCATTACCGGAAACTGGCGCTTTCCGTGGCCGCTGCTCCGACTAAATATCGATCCGCGCCTTGAATGTTCCGCACGAGCAACACGTGTACCAGCCAGTCGACCAACGGCCGACCAAGCTAACCAACCAGGTCAACGTCGAGCACCAAGTATCGTTTGGCACTCGCACGTTTCTCTCTCTCTCTTCCCCTTCCACCCTCCTCTCTCTCTCTCTCTCTTTCTCTCTGCTCCAGATAAATAATACATGCGTTTCCGCCGGAAACGCGCGGTCAAGTCGCTTTCGATGTCTTCGCGGTCAGGCGACATCGATAACTTCCTTCGGGAACTGAAAAGCTAACGAGTGCAGTGGCACGGAAATTAGATTACTACATGTGCGCCACAGAACGGCTTCTAATCTCACATACATTGTTGTATTTCACAATATTAAACCTTGTTTCTAACAAAATATTCGCTGAAGAAAGAGGTAGCGATTAATAATTAGCTAGATTGTGTCTTGATGATTGATTACGAAGTAATGATTGAACAAGCTCTGACGCAATCGATCGATCCGCATATTTGGAAGACGCCAAAATTCTTTTTGATGTTATTAATAAAGATAAAATTCTCTTTTTGATGTTATTAATAAAGATAAAATTCTCTTCTTTTTGATGTTACTAATAAAGATAAAATTCTATTCTGTTTCTATTCACCAATCTTTCTCGTATCATGCGAAGACAGGAATGTTCGATTAGACGCGGGAATAAAACCATTTTGAGTAATCAAGATAAGTGCATCCTATGCACCGCTATAGATATGTAAATCACACGAGCCTTTAAAGCGTTTGTCGCCGGTCTGATTGCAGTTCACGACATGCTTGCCGCAGTAGTGAATCCAGACATTTTAAAGCCCAAGATGAAATCTTCGTGTTTACGAGGAATTGCATCAATCTTTTCGAGATGTAAGACGTGCCGAATTTTAATGAACGTTTGTCACACTAAAAGATTGCTGCTAATAATCCACGAAATAGGAAAATATAGGAAATATTTTTCACTCCTGAAAACGTCATGTCCATATCATATGCATTTATCACGCGGCTGACTATTCGCAGACCATAACTACTCGCGCAGCCAGAAATCATTTGCTGGTACTATATTAGTGCAGTTTTTTTCTACGAAAGTCAATGAGAGATCGAGAAATAAATAAAGAAATGTTAATTAAACATCACATATCGTAAATATCGTTCGTTACACAGAAAAAAAGGGCATTCTTGTTTCGAAAATATCTCTAGTTTGAAATCATGAAAATCTTGAAATGAGATTATATTGCGTTAATAAAAGAAAAATATAATTGCTTGCTTGAATGAAGCCATTTTATGTAATTCAATCAAGAAAAATATATTCTTATGATTTAATATTTAATTTTCTGGAATAGAAAAGAAACAATGTTAGACAGAAAATAACATTTTTAAATCAAAAATTAATTTTCTTAAAGTAGAATTAAATAATTATAAATATTCTCGAGATAACAATTACAATATTAAAATAAGATATAATATTGTTAGACTATAATATTGTTAAAATTTAAAATTATTAAATTCTCTTAAGAAGATTATAAATTGTTACGTACATACGAAACAATGAATGCATTAATTTAAGTATACAAGTTTTGATTTGACACTTATTTTTTGCTGTGTACAATTTAAATTTTACATATTTTATTAGAGGGAATGAGAGAAATTTTTAATTGTAAATCGAGATTAAGGTGATTAAGGTGACGAATATAGAAACAGTATAGTCTAGAGACACGTGCTATTGGCATGCTCCTATCATAATCTTGTCCATGGATCGCACGGTATCAACGCGGGTATTTGTTTCCGTTTGGCGCGTGTTTACGAGCATCCCTATCGAGGTTTCCGGACGCGATGCCAAATGGGCCGCGCGCTTAGGAAGTTATCCGTCGACGCGAATCTCGTTGTCCGCGTTTTCTAATACGACAGCATCGATCCGCATCCACTTGGAACGCGCGTCCCACCGGAACACGATGCGTGACGTGACGTGACGCGCACCTCGGGGAGACACATAGAATGTGCCTTTTATGCGATGCATCGCGTTAAAGCATCCCGACTCTAAGGCACTCGAAAAGCCGCTTTTTTCCACGATAGTCGAGTATGCAGGATGATTTATACGAGGATGAGATGCGCATCTCGAGATGAGAGGAGGAATGGAAGCTGGATTGCGTAACATAAAAGACAGGAATATCACGTTATTTATGAACTCGATTCTCTCTGTGAAAAGATTTTTTGCTATAATGATATACTGTACCTTTTTTGTTCGTCGTTACATCTTTTCGAGTAATTAATTCAATGAAGAATAACTTGATTACTCAAAATGCATGAAATGCATAAATCATACAAGCAATTGGATTAATTAAGCATGAAACGTGAGTTCTTTTTAATTCAGATTATTGTACTTTATTCTAATTTCTTTCTTTTATTGGAATTCCATCGCTGGATTTTTTTTCAAAACGATACAAATTTGTCATCTTTTCGCCGACAAATTTGCATTTTTTTTTTCTTTAAATAGAGCTGTCAAATTATCTTGATTAAACACTTTGGAAACATTTGGATCTAAAATTTTTTATTGTAATGAAAAGAAAAAATACATATTCGAACGTTTCAACCTCGGAGAAAGTGGTTAACAAATTAATGCTCTAAGCAGAAAGTAATCAGATGATCGCGTGCTGACTTTAAAATTATCCCGCGAAACATCGCTTAAATTCGCAGATATTCCACTGACGTGCGATGTTATCTACAAATACTGAAACGATTCATTAATAATTACTGGTTGACCCACTGCCGCTTTTGGAGACTGCGCTGTTTTAGCGTATTGCTTAAACGCTATATCCAATGAAGCGCCGTTGTTGCGTCTTTCTGCGATTTACTATAAACGTGAATAAAACTATATAAAATTCCTCCTTTATAATTTAATTTTATAATTTAATTTTGTTGACGTAATCATTGATTTACGCAACTTTAAAAATTGCTCAAAGATAACTCACTTATATACTTTTCCTTTCTCTTTCTCTTTTTCCTTTAAATCACTATAATGTCAGTCACATAAATGTATAAATAGAGTAAAATATGTATGAAAATAGAGTGAAAGAGCTAAACTAGATAGTAAAATATTTTCTGTATGAATGTATGAATTCTTTCTCAAGTTGGAATCTAATTATAGAATTACTAAAGATTAGAGATAAAAAAGAGAGAGAGAACTTTTAGTGAAAAAAAAATTGTAGAAATATATTTTTATCATTTTAAGTATATTTTACAATTATTCGAGATATGAGTGGAAATTTAAATCAAATTTGAACGATATAAAAATGAGGATACATTATCGAAAATATTTTAAGAAATGTATTTCAGAAAATATCTCTGTCCAAATACAGACTATTAGTTTCACTTAATATAAACAATATACAACAATATTAATAAGATATTCAATATCGAAAAAAATTACATAAACGCAACAAGTTTATTAGCTTTATTATATTTATTTAATAGGAATTATGTTTCTTATCATGTATCTGTAAAATTGCATGAGTCATTAATTTTAAATAAATGATATGCAATATATGGTCTGTATGATAGATACATAGTCTTAGTAACGGGCGCTGATCTTCTCACTAAATTGACCTAAATTTATTATAGTCCCCGAGCGGAGCAAGCCTTTAGGGTTCATGCCTATAATTCTCTATATTCTAAATTTTATCAAAGAAATCTTTTATATATATTTTATATACGTATAGGATATTTAAACATATCAATTATGAAGAAAATTTCTGTTAATTTCGATTAACACAAGAGAGAATTTAGATTTTAAAAATCCAGATTCAAGTCACATTATTAAACATTTATATTTGTGTTTCAGACATTTTGCGTGGTGTCCAAGAGGTTTCGCAAGAACTATATCCATAGGTTTACAGCGACCAATAGTTGGTTCATCTTCTCTCCGTGGAATTGTGTGCGAAAGTTCTGTATCTTCCTAAGTACGAATCAGTACTTTGATTACGTGGTCATGACTACTATACTTCTTAACTGCGTCTTCCTGGCCATGACCGAAACTATCGAGGAAGCAGAGTGAGTATAAATTAGCCTCTCATGATTATGCAACAGCAGCGATTAGTCGATTAGCGATAGCTATTACTGAATGAATCTGTGCTTGTAATTTCAACATAAAATCATATAATTGTATTTCTTTGAAAATGGAAACGGGTATTTTTTCAATAAGCTTAAAATTAATTTTTTCTTAGCAACGACTTGATTAAAATTTATTTTTTTGTTTTTAACTTTTTGATTTTCAATATTTAAATTTAACTTTTCAATATTTAATTTAAATATTTTAGTAACTACATAACAATAATATGTTACTATAGAATACCGTTATTAACATATATAAAATAATGTGTAAAATAATATATAAAATATTGCGATACATTATATATTTAAAAGATCATTCTTCATTTTTTCTCTTATTTTTTTCCGTGTAATATTTTTTTAACATTATATTTTTCTAATACTTTTTAAATATCTCGATAATTATTAATTAATTTGTATAATAAATAACTTTTCATTGAATATAATATTGATAACAAATTTCAATATTGTCATTGTGCTTGTACTCTTAAATGTAAGCTTGAATTGGACTTTAATCAAACTTTTATCAGTTAATCGGAGTCTCTGCATTCGAAGAGTTAATGACGAGGTTTGACGAGTTCTCTTTAAACATGCATAACTGGCCTTCATTTCATATATGTTCATTTAGCATATAATCCTCTTAAGCTAAGTATTCTCTAGCGAGTAACTCGCGAGTTCTCGTCGTCGACTGCGGATAGCAATTCGTTTAACGTCGGTTTCCGCCGAATATGTCCCGCGGTAATTTTCCGCAACTGCAGCCTCAACCGCGAAGGCGTGTCAGATTAACGAGCTTTTAGGGTGGTGATTAAATGATCTGTTCAAAGTTCACCTCGGCAAGTTAATTGACTTTACTAGATTAAAGATGAAATTTTTATGTATGCATATTTTATATAAGCAGATAATTTATAATCTACACACTGAGAAAAATCTGTTTGACTGTACCAACAAGATATATCTGATAGAAGGCACTTTGGTTAAACTAAGAATTTCTAATTATCACGATAAAACTTGATTTTTTATAACTGGAACGTTTAATAGATTTTATTATGAGAATTTAGTTAATATTTTCTAGTTGGATCTATTAAACTTTTTGTTATATTACTTAAACATGGACATAGTGATGCCATTTTCTTTGTAAATTTAGTATTATTACCAAGAAAATTTGGTAAATTTTAAAAACAGGAAGAAATTAATCATACTCATCTGGTAATTCCTAATGGAATTCCGACTCGTCCATTTTTCAACAGACATACTGGTTGAATCTATCAGATTTCTAGTTGATGCAACCAGATTTTTTTCTTGCACTCATTTTTTTATTAATTATTAAATATTCTGAAGAAAGAGAAACGTTAAATTTAAAATTTATTTCAAACAATAAAGTAAGTACGATCATCGTTTAATAATGCCATCGCATGATTTTGATCATTCCTGAGTGAGACAATAATACGAGAAATATCTCGAAATCGATAATTCAAACTCGATGAGCATGCATGCGAAATGTTCATTAAAGTCGTTCGAGTCGCGCAAACTACGCGAGAGGAGAGCACCTCATCTCGCGTCGCACAAAAGCGAAAATAAAGGGGAACCGCATCGCGGTTATTCCATGCCCTCGGAGCCGGAATGCAGGCTGCGAGATGCACGGCGGTGCATTCGTGCAGATATGGAATGCCGCAGGGCGCAACGTCCGAGATACGCGGATGGAGATTTAAAGATTTGCTCTCTTTCTCTCTCCTTTTCTCCTTTTATGCTATACACCCTCATCTCGATCTTTCGAATGGACTAAAATTCTTTGCCAGTACGAACGAAGATCGAGAAGAAGCGGAGAAGAGAAATTAGCAAGGGAAATTTTCATCCTTGACGCCAATCAAAATTAATTGCAAACTTATCGGAATTATTAAAATTAAAAAATTAATAAATTGAATTTTTCTTTATACGCAGATAGCATTTTTAGTATCCAGTAGATTCGAAAAATGCAATTAGAATTTCTCTTGTGTGATAGCCTATGCATAATGTTTTAACATGTGTAACAGCATGATTTATGAAATCATGGGTTTTTTTATGAAATTATTATTCTATTTATAAACATGATGTTTTGTATTATTTTGAGAAAGTTAAATTAATTACTAGCAATCTATGTTTGTAACACCCTTGACATGATTGATACATGTGGTTACGCGAGACGAGATAATTTATGTTGGTTTGGGCCTGTAATTTTAATTTAAAGTATATTGTTTAATCACATAAAACATTGTCTTATGCGTATCTGTTATAATTAATAGATTGCTTATTTTTATAAATATATATTCTTTCTTCAAGATTAGAAAAAGAAAATCAATATAATTTGTTGCTATTGCTCGAATATCGGAATAAAAGATAACGCAATAATTATATATATATATATATATATATATATATATATATATATATATATATATATATATGTATCAAAATATAACAGCTTTTTGATATCGAAAGCATTGATTATAAAAATTAAATAATAAATTTCTCAAAAATAATAAAATTCTAAAACAGGATAATATGATAGATTAAATCCAAGGAAATTAATTACAATAAAATTTGACAGTTTGCATAACATTTCTGTATAACATTCTGTATAACATTTTGACTTTTTGATAACAATATTGGTGTCGATAACGAACGCTAACGTTGATCCGATGTTTGCAATAATACACGTGTTCGTGATGTTTCTCATGTTCCAGATATATCTTCCTAGCCATATACACGGTGGAAATGGTGGTAAAATCAATAGCGAAGGGATTTATACTGAACAAGTACACTTATCTGCGGAATCCATGGAATTGGTTGGACTTCGTGGTGATTACCAGCGGATACGCGACTATTGGGATGGAAGTCGGGAATCTGGCCGGTCTCAGGACGTTCAGGGTGTTGAGAGCACTTAAGACTGTATCCATTATGCCAGGTAATGTAGCGAATCAGAAGCATGTAATTTCCGACTTACTCTGATTGCTTTCATTTCACTTGGGAAAAAATTCAGCATGAAAAAATTTAATCATTGTTCTTTCGAAAAGAAAAAATCCTCTTGAGAAAATTAATCTCTTTAAGCTAAAAAAATCATTATCGTATCCTTTAGATCAATACACACAATTTATATAATTAGTTTACATAATTAAACACAAAAGTAACAGAGAAACAATCAGCTTCTCTTCCTGAAATAAAATATGTATCGAATATTGCATATCTGTCGGGTGTTGTACATCGATTATACAAATGACGTATAATATTAGATATTATTGCATTGCGTTAAATGCACGTGTTTGATATATCAGACATATTAATCAACTGCAAAATAAACCGAATCGCTTCATATTAATTCGAGCTTTAAATCAAACCCGCATTTACGTACGTTTCGCTGAAATAAGCATAAATGATAGCTTTAAAACTAAAAATCGTTCAATTTCATGTACATTGTGATTTATCCTGTTAATCCATTTGCGTGACAGCAACTAAATGACAGCAACGGAATTCATAATATTCCTTGCAATGCAATTTATTATCTAGATATTTACATTTCTTTGTGTGGACATTATTATCTTTATAAAATTGTACCGTATTAATAGAATCCATTCAATTTCCTTCGATCGAAATTAATATTCGGCAACAAAAAATTCACATATTGCTATTAATAACGTGTTAATAATTAAACACGTTATAATTAAAATAATTTCTTTTGTCATCGTGGAATTGCGTATTAATATTTGCGTGAAAATATCCACATCGATTTCTCGGATAACGAATCGTTTCTACCGCTCAATTATTCATCCCTTGCAATATTCAGACGCATTTTAATCTCGTGGTCGCATTTATCATGCATAAAACACATACATTGTAAATTTGCAATGGTATTACATTAAAAGGAATTGCAAAGCGCGCTATAAGCTCGTAAGCTCTCACACTCGTCTCATTTGCAGCTGTTAGAAACTTACAATTCTCGATCAATTGCATAATCCGCGATCAAGTAACAAGCCACAATGACCGATGGTACGATGTATTTGACTCGGAGAAAATTGAAAAATACTCTTTGATTGACAGCTTGCGCTTAAAATAAAACATATATATGTGTATGTATGTATGCATGTTGTATGAATATTTTAAATTGCTCCATTTTTATCTTTGATTTACTGATCAACCTCGAATTTATATCGGAGAGAAATTTTTATCTTTACATTCGTTTTTTGACATTTTTCAAAAAATACTTTGAAATGAAGACGCGTAGCGATTTTAAATCGAACGAAAACTTTATTGTTTCGAAAACAAAACATGTTTCGATAACAAAACATGTTAGAAAACAGGAAAATGCTACAAAGTGAGCTTAGCCGAATTAAAGAGAGATGAAAAAGTGTAATGAGAAGCTATGAGCTGTAGAAAAATAAGTTTGTAGTTGACCACTCGACCGGATGAAATACAAAGTAGTTAAGATAGCATGTTGCAAGCGGATTTAAGTTTCTCACAAAAGGGAGAGATGACATACACAACATCGGTCGACCGTTTACGGAGACCGACAAACTTTGCCCAACTGACAAACTCGAATGCGGAGAATGTGTCTCTCAGGGGGTCTAAGGATAGCCACGGATTATTCTAGATATCATCAAGATTAGTTTGCATCTATCATATGTTATTAATGGCGATTTAGCTTGATAGTTCGTTTTCTGTCAATTTTGAAAAAAAAAAGTATCGCAAAAATACACAAATATATACGATATCCGATTAGCATCAAATGTATAGGTTGACGAAACGAAAGGTTTTTTTCTTTTTTTACGGATATCGGTTTTTACTAACTCATCGCACGATTTATTGATTTGACTGCGGAAAGCTTTTTCCTCATATATTTCAAAATATTATATATTTAGAAAACACAAAAACGGATAACAATAATTCTTTCTGAATATATTTATTTTTTTAAATACGCTAAAAAATTTTTATCTTACTGATTAAGTATTTCTCTATTTTATTGTTATATACAATATCAAAATTGACAATTGAAATTATCGTTTGAGAAAAGATTTAACAAATGTAAATTAAAATTATAAGAGATAGATATTCCATATAATACTCGTATTATTATCTAAATCTTTTATCCAAATTTTCAATTTTTTCTCTTATATAAATCGCATTCTTCTTAGTTTTTGGCTATATGAGAACTTGATTGATTATTCCGTAGATTGTATTAATGTGAATTGTCAGGATGTTTAACGATTCTCTACTGATTTAATCTCAAGAATCTTTATTCGTATTTAACATTATTTATTCGAATATATCGCCAATTAAAAGTAATCTTTGCTTTGCAAGACACAAACCGACAACAATAGAGCCAGAGCAATACGCTTGTATTCACCCAAGAGAAAAAGCCTCTTAAAGACCGATGAATGAATGCCCCGCTATACATTGGAGCGAAACCGATGAATGCTGCAGCTGAGTCAATAGGTCAATGGGAGAATTTCTTAAGCAAAATCGTCGACTGTGCAATCTTTGGTTAACCATGATTTACTTTCAATGAGCTGATATTAATAATCGCATTTGTTTTCTTTAATTTTCAATTAAATATTAATCGTTACGTCAAACGTGCAATCACTACTATTCATATGGATCTTGGATTTTTTAACGAATTTAAAAGTTCGATAAAAAGATCATCACTTTTGTCGTGAATTTTTAATCATTATATTAAAAAATGTTTTATACTGACTTATAATTAAATAAATTATAATTAAATAAAAAGCAAGGTCTTCTTAATTAAATAGAGAACATGAATTATAATTTGTGTTGTTATTATATGTTACAGGTCTAAAGACTATCATCAACGCACTGTTACACAGTTTTAAACAACTTGCCGAAGTAATGACACTGACGATTTTCTGCCTGATGGTTTTTGCACTCTTCGCCTTGCAGGTTTATATGGGGGAACTTAGAAATAAATGCGTGAGGCAGCAAGAACCAAACACCACGCAAATCGATTGGGTTGAGTAAGTTATTTTCATTTATCGCTTGCATAAAATTTATATCCAGTTAATTACGAATTTATTTTAATCTAAGAATATATATATTTTAAACCCCTGAAAAACATTTTTAATTCGTTCTTTCTCTCTGTCGACCAATAACGCGAAATATCTCGTGCTTAAAAGTGTGATTTTGATATAAAAAAAACTTTAAATAAAAAAAAATACGTTTATATATTTATATTTTCATGCTTTATAAAAGATATCATTTAGTTAATTTAATTTTTGTTTGTCTCATAATTTTTGTTTGTATCGAACAGTGATTGAAGAAAAGATAATTGATTTAATCAATTGATTGCCTCTTTCCACAAAAATGCACAGAAACGCGGAGAAACGTGATGGAAATGTGTGTTGGTTCTCTCGTTTTAAATCTCCGGAGATCGCGGGCTTGCAAGAACGCTAACGGAATTTTCGTGTCGCCAACAGGTGGACTTGGAACTCATCCAATTGGGCGTTCAATGAGGACGAGGAGCCAATCATCTGTGGCAATGTAACTGGCGCCAGGTTAGTGTTTCTCTATTTAATTCCACTTCAGGTAAGTTAATTTCAGACGCGAGGGCTACCTCCGTATCGAGACAAGTGCTGCATATCACCGGACAAGAACTAGTCGGGGTTTCGCCCTTGCGAAAAGACTGTAGAGAAGGAGAGAGCGAGAAAAATTGAGTATTTGCCCGATACTTTCTCGAGTCGATGTGTCTATCCTGTAGCGAAATTTGCCAAACTTTTCAATGTCACGTCCGGTTTCCGATATTTGAAAAATCTATGGTTCGTCGACGAAAATTTTCTACCATGTTACATAAAATTTTATTTGAAGTGAAATAAAATATCCGTGAAGAGAGAGTTAACTTTAATTTAAACTTTTAAAATTTTAAATTGTTTTAGAAAGAAAATGAGAATATGTATGAAAATAGAACGAGAACAAAATAGCATAATATTTAAAACTTTTTATATCTTTTGATCCTAAAATATTAAAATAAAAAATTGCAATTTCTCGATCAATTTTCTAATAGCAAAATATCTTTTTTTTTTATTTATAAACTTTACACAACTTACTTTACGTTTGTAACAAAACCCGTAATACTTGTTTTTGCGTTTCGCTGAAACATAAATCATTTATCAAGTGTGTCGACAATTATATAGAATCTTCGACAAACTGTGACGGATAATTGCTAACGATTTATGTTATTAATCACTTGTCACGTTTGCCATGTAATCACGTAGACATATTTCCATCATGGCATCCGATTATTATACCTGATTGCCTTCGCGGTATTGCAGTTTGTTCGAAGTTTATCTCGCACACTTTGACGAAGCGTACGAGCGTGCTCCTCCATATTTATCGATTTGTGGCAGCATCCATTCCCCAAATGATTACACCAGCCGCACGTATGCGCGACGGAATTCGACTCGTATAAATAAGTTTGCAAAAGCTTTACTACTTTACGTGGCGCACGAGCTTTACGACGTACTTTTGGTGCGCTGTATTCCGCGGGAGGGAAAGTAGGCTTTTTATTGGATCGATACGTTCGAAGCTGAAGGTTTCTTTGCACTTTCAACGAGACATTCCTATAAGAAATTCAGCGAAGCATATGAAGATATTACACTTACAACAATCTCGCTACGCGAATATTGTATTTAACAGATTTTGTAGAAAATATCGATTCGTTTTTTTATAACGCAGACAATCGTTTGACACTTAGAGATAGCATCTTAAATATTTAGATTTTATAATAACATGAAGAAATATCTTTTTCGCGAAAAAGACATATTTTTGTTCAGCCAAAAAATTTTGGATACAATAACGCAATATAGTTACAGAATTTTACGTTTTAATTTGCAAAAAGTAATTAAAACTTTTAAATTATTTTCATTCAACGAGTGTAGAGTAGTCGATAGTCACGCAGACTATAACGTAAAAAAGCTCGATGTAAAGCTTTTAGTAAAGACTGCGGCAAAGTAATATTTCCGCACTTGATAATGATAGTGCAGCAGACTCGAAACGTTCTCATGGATATTGCGATGTCGACGATGTAGGTCTTTACCTATTTTCCAGGCACTGTAACGAAAGCTACACTTGTCTCTGCGTTGGCCCTAATCCAAATCACGGTTACACCAACTTCGATAATTTCCTCTGGTCAATGCTCACCACCTTCCAACTGATTACTTTGGATTACTGGGAGGATGTCTACAACAAGGTCATCTCATCTAAGAGATTTTGTCTAGCCTACGAATATAAATGCAAACTGCAGTAAAATTCGGTTTCGTATTTTTTAATTTTTTTAACTCATCTTTTGAAAGATATAGATTAAATAACATTTAAAATTTTTTTTAAAGTCTTTTTTTTTTGGATTAGCAATTATACTTAGAAAATTAAAAGAGAGAAGGATTTTTAATAAAAACAATTATCAAATTTCATGAAAATGTGAAAACAAAATGGAAATTTGAAACTTTTAAATTTAAATAAATTCTCTGGAAAAATATCAATATAAATAAATTCCTTGGAAAAATAACCACATTATATTTGTTACATTCTGTACAGCTATGAATGCGTTGTCGGGATGATAAATAACGTGTTTTGCGGCACAGGTGTTGTCGGCGTGCGGACCTATTAGCGTCTCGTTCTTCACGGTGGTTGTATTCTTTGGATCATTTTATCTGCTAAACTTAATGCTGGCCGTCGTGGCGTTGAGTTATGAAGAGGAAGCCGAGATTACAAACGAGGTGTGCACTCTATTTCAAATCTTGATGAATATACACATTTTTTTTTCTTTTCTCTTTTTAAAGCTATAAGTTTAAACAACACGTTATTTCAAAAAATATATAAAATGTCTCATTTTTACGATAATCAATAATTAAAAATAATTATAAAAAATTGCGAAATCTAATTTGTTGATAGTATTTTATATTTCTGCAACTTTATCAAAATTGTTTTTGTGCGACAGGAACGAAGGAAAGACTTGACGGATCATCGTGAGGATTCAACATTTAGTTTCGACCCGTCAAAGATCAACATTAAGACCTTAACGAAAGATAAACAGAAGAGGATAGACGCCCGTAAAGGCGTATTGCTCAGCAGTTACACGAGAAAGAAGACGCGTAGAAGAAAACGTGGAAGGAGTAGCGCCGGTCAGGAGAAAAACGGTGGTGCTCGCAGCAGGTTTTTATATCTATATTTATGGCTGACTCTTTTCCGCAGCTTGATCTGTTCATCGTTACGAGATATTCGCAACGAGTTAGAGTCGACGATTAAGAGTTATGAATGAAATGGAATTTTTAATCTTATTAAAATCATATGTAATTGTATATAATCGGGAAAAATAGGGTAATATGACTAGATATATTTTTAATGCTTATTTTTATGTTTGAAATTGCAGCATTTATTTTTCTCTTTTTCTATTTCTAAGAAAACATAAATTATATTAGGTAACAATTATATAAAATAAATGTTTTTAATATGTTATTTAAAAGTTTGAAAAAGTACAATTTTTTATCTCTAAAGTTTTGCATTAATGAGAAAGTTGAGGAACAGATTTTGCATGATATAAATTTGCCTCGTTTTAATTTTAAAAAATAATGAAAATATTAGAATATTCTTTTTCATACACGTATATAAGAGTATATTTGGAAATAAAAAGTTACAGTAGGTACAACGAAACTTAATCTTATTTCTGTCAGCATCTACCCGCTAAAAGTATTAGATCCTTTTATACGTTAATCTCATACACAGAAAAGTAATTTCTATCCCTGGTACATGTAGCTCGCTATGAAGTCATTAAACTGTAGGGAGTTTGTTCCAAAAAGATAGAAAGAAAGAAACATCATAAACACCCTCATTTTCAAGAAACTGTAATAAAAGCGAGGAAGGAAAACGAGCTTGCCTTGCAATCTTAGGACATAAGCCATATCGTATGGAGGGCACATTTCGACAAATTTTATAGAATGTATATTAAAATGTTCACTATTCATCTGTGGACTTTTTAATTAACTTGCAGTTCTTTTTTTTTATTTAACAAAAATTTTATCAAATTATTAAAAATGTCATTTTTTTGATAAAATTATTTAATTATTTCAAAGCAAAATATAATTTTAATAACAATCTTGTTAAATTGCCTTGAAAACGAGATATAAAGAACAAAACTTTATCATTTATTTGCGCCTGTAAATATTAATTTGCCGATTGCATTTATCATAAAATTGTTGATTTAAATTAAATAAAAAGAATAATTAATGTCATGTTTCGACACGTTTTTAATCGCGCAATACGCATTCAGTCTTTTAATAATTTTATTATTAATTACTTATATCATAAGAAAATCAAAACAAGGCAAATTATTATTTATTAGATTCATATAAAAAATTACTTATGAATAGTGCAATCTTTTCTAACTTATATATAGCTAATATCTTATAATATAAAATTTATCTTGTTTAAAATTTCCCCTTTATAATTCATTGCATATTTTTCATAATCTTTTAATATATCCAATGAGTTAATAGCAATAAATTTTATATTTTTCTTCGAATAAGCTGTATATATATATATATATATATATATATATATATATATATATATATATACGATTTTCTAATGTTTGGTAATGTCTTCTACGAATTGAAATGACCTGACGTAGATAGTGCCTGATATTCCCATGGTTAATGTCGCTCATTACTAAAAGCATCGATTTCACTGCTTGAACTTGGCTGTACCTCTCTGCAATCCCGAGACTAATTAGTTTAATGTTCCGAATAATCGTTAATTTGTGCAGCAAGATACGAGCTCTTTAAAAATTAGACTCTATTCGATCATTATATATTCGATCATCATACTTTATCAGTTCGGAATTTGCACATTCTTTTTATAAATATGGAAACTTAAAATAATTAAAATTACAATAAAATATAATATAAAGATTAAGGAAATATTATAATTTTAGTTTTTAATTCCTGGAACGCATACGTACTTGCGTAGCAAACCAACTATTTGCATTTTCATAAAATTTCAATTTCTCTCGTCTAGACTTCGCTCTGTGGGATTGCACGTTCTCCCTCGACGACGAATTGCTGAATTCATCCTGAAGTATGACGGGAACTACGTTGCAGGTCTGTGACACCCAGCCCGAGTCCGAGTCCTAGGCACTCCAATGTACGACCCTCCCACTTGCCGCTCCAGAATGTCAGTCCTAGACCACCGGAGCTCAATACGGTGCACCGGCTGGCGCCGAACCGGGGCATGCTGCACTCCAGACAGGCCAGCAATAATAGTAACCAGCAATCGTCGCTAGACGACTCGGGGGTGGTGGATGACCACGATGGCGACGATGTCACATCGGCCGAGGAGCAGCACGACAAACGTGAATCGCGGGAGCATCGCGCCGAGAGATCGCAGGAGAAGTCTCCGAGGGAGCATGGCAGGACTCAACAGGCCCAATCTCAACCACATCCGGAGTGCTCACCAGCGCCGGTCACCGTATCGGTGAGGACTGGTAACCGGGAGATTCGGGTGCTCAAATGCAACGGAGTCAAAACCAAGAAACATATGTACGCGCTGCCGCCAGAGTACCTGTCGCACATTGTAGTTTTAGGTGAGCAGAAACTAATTATGTTGACTGCAGTTGTTTATTGAAACAATACACATTTGTGTAACTGAATTAACATGTTAAAATGATTTTCCTTTAATTAAAATAATACGGAAATATCTTATTGATCTTATTTGTTCAGTATTGTAAAAAATTGTAATTTAATTAATTAAATTTTTTTATTTTTTCTTCAGTATTGAATATTCAAAAGTTGTAATATATAATACTCGCTGCATATATGTTTATTGAAATTACATTCATCATCATTGTATTAGTAAAATTCTAATTAATTTGCCGTCAAAACTTTTTTACCTAATTATATATTTGTTCAAAATCACATGAAAATTGCTTTGTTAAAATTGCACAACTTATGGTTTAATTAATTAAAATGTTGAATATTTAAGCTTGTAATAGATAATATTGGCCACAGGTACTGCATTATTTATTCAAACAATATATATGTTATAACAATAATATTGGTTATAACACAACTGTGAATTAATAAAATTTTCCAATATATATTCTGTAAAAGAAAAAGAAGAGAAAACCATTATAGTTTTATCTATTGTAATATTTTCCAATTTGGAATATCGGAACTTTTTTAACATGTACATTCTAAATGAACTAACATGGATATATGATATATGTTTACAGATGATCTTCCAGATAGAAATTGCGATAAATGTATTCAATGCTGCGTAGATTATGAAGGATGGCTACGATTTCAAAACTGCCTATATAAGGTAAATTATCACTATTAACTATAATATCCGCTTTTTTTACATCTTAAGCTTTTTTAAATCTTAAGCAAAGAAAAAAAAATTCTCAAGGGATTTTGCTTGATTTGTTCTGATTAATAAATGACTATCAATTACCGCCGTATTTAAATAAAACATATTTAACTAGTTTTGCATTTTTATGAAATTTTTATGAAATGAAATTTTCATGCCGCGTAATCGTATTGACTTTGTCACATTAATATTTGAAGAAACGCATAAAATAATGATCTCCCTTTAATTTTTTTAACTTTAATTATACAAAAAGGGAAATCATATGTACAAATTTAATTAATATTATATGGAGGCATTAAAATGAATCATTTCAAGGTGGTGAGAGATCCCTTGTTCGAGCTAATGATCACCCTCTGCATCGTTTTAAACACTGGTTTCCTGGCAATGGAGCATCATGGTATGAGCGAGTCGATACGGCAAGCGCTTAACATCGGCAACAAAGTGTTCACCAGCATTTTCACATTCGAATGCTTCTTGAAACTCTTGGCGCTAAGCAAGGACTTTTTCAACAACGGCTGGAATAACTTCGATTTGATCATCGTTTCCGCATCGCTTATCGATTTAACATTCGAGCTGGTAGACGGTTTATCAGTGATACGTGGTCTCAGGCTACTTCGCGTTCTGAAGCTTGCGCAGTCTTGGACGACTATGAAGGTTCTCCTCAGTATCATTATTTCAACAATCGGCGCGCTCGGTAATCTAACCTTCGTGCTGGTGATTGTAATTTACATATTTGCTGTGATCGGCATGCAGTTGTTTAGTAAGGATTATACACCAGACAAGTTCTACCCGGATCCAGTGCCACGTTGGAACTTCAACGATTTCTTCCATTCGTTCATGATGATATTCCGTATTCTATGCGGCGAATGGATCGAGCCGCTATGGGATTGTATGCGCGCAGAGAGAGAGGAAGGAGCAAGCACATGCTTCGCCATTTTTCTACCGGCTTTAGTGATGGGCAATTTCATGGTCCTCAACCTCTTCTTGGCGTTGTTGCTCAACAGTTTTAATTCCGAGGAGCTAAAGCAGAAAAAGGAGGAGGTCGGCGAAGAATCGAAGCTCGCGCGATCGTTTGATCGTATACGGTCAATCGTACGCAAGCAGAAACATCGCAAGGAGAATTCCGAGAACGAAAAGAACATTCGGCTGGAGCAGATTGTCCGCGAAGTGATGGACAAGTCGGATAAGGAGAAATACGCGATCCAAGAGACCGTGCTGAGCCTTCCCAAAGACAATATTTACAATAGGTCGTATCAGGAGAGTCTTAATCAACCGATCTTCACGTACGATCCGATTTATCGTCAGGCCACTCTCACTACCTACAGCCAGAGCAGCCAAGAGATAGTTAAGGAGAATAAGAAGTTGACCGAGAAGGGCAACAATAACGAGACCAATCCTGAGGAAAGTATAGAGTTAGAAGTGCTCAAAGACACTAACAAGACAGATGAAGAGGTGGCCATGCTGCCAGAACAGAAACCTCCTGCGCGGAAAGATGGCATAGAGAAACGTCCATGGCACGCTCTCGTAAGTTACGTAGACGAACTCACAGTCGGAGGTAGAAGAGACAGTAAAGGAAGATACATCGACGGGATGGGCTCGTTTCCGGGATTCGGCAGGAATAGGGAACACAAGGAGCCGCTCGATTGCTTTCCCCAGCACTTTTATCAAAAGTAAGAAAGATATTTTTCTATTTTCTTCTTTATTCACATCGAATTCAAATTTTTTAAATAAAATAAATATTAAAATTAATTATTTATGATTTAAAAATTACATCGAGATTAATATTTTAATATCTACGAAGAGACGAATTTAGAATTTATTAATTTACTAATTCGTTTGTGTATATGCGATTTTATAAAATATATTGTATATTTCACAATTGCAATTAGATAATGTTTGATATAAACACGATTGTGTTTAGGTGTAGCTGTATTAATCGTTGCCTCGCCACGGATATCGGCAAAAAGTGGATAAGAGTTCGTACAGCCGTCCTGTCGGTGGTGGACACACCGTCGTTCGAATGGATGATATTAATTCTAATTTTCGCATCTTCCATAACGCTGTGCTTCGAGGATATCTACTTGGATGACAATCCTTCTTTAAAATATATTCTCTACTGGACCAATCTTGTCTTCTGCGTAATTTTCAGCGTCGAGATGCTCTTGAAATGGCTAGCCCTAGGCTTCTGTAAATACTTCACCAGTTTCTGGACAATCTTGGATTTTATAATTGTTTTCGTAAGTATGATCCTTGCATTCGATCCATAAAGTAAAATATAAAAACACTGCGTGCAAGCGCGCGTGTGTATCATTGTAGCATGAGTTGTATTTGTCAATTTTCTTGCTTGTCTTACGTCAGACATTACGTATTTGTATTCAGAGTGAGCCACTTAATTTTATTGAATAAATAGCTTACAGTTTTAATTGCTAACAAATTTGTTCATTATATACATATACTATGGATGATGCATAGAATAATTAATATAGATATCTTTTTTTTTAAAGACTTATAATGATGATTTAAAAGCTTTATAAATATTCTAAATTCAACAGTACCTTGAGAGCTATTGTTTGCACTGAAAATTATAATAATTATTTTATGTATTTTTATAAACTGAAATGGTTCACCCTGTGTATATATGATAAGATGAAAATCATTGAAAGCATTGAATGAAACATGCGTGATAATTGTTTTGTTGTGAACATTGTTTCCGTATTCCTTGTCTTTACATGTTTTATGTGTGGCCCCGTGGATCCAGGTACGTTGAAAATTAATGTTTTAGTATCCATTTGTACCATGTCGATTAGAAATATGATATTAGCATAAATGCATGTCTCTGTATATTGTTTTTAATCGTATATGGTTTAGTAGGTGGGTTAACAATTCAAGTCGTTCATGCACGAAAGAGATATCTAATAAATTGGTAAAAAAGAAAAAGAAAATAAATATCCTGCTAAACAAATAATGATATTTTCTAGTTTCTGATAAGTCGCATTATTTTTATTTCTCTAAATCTTAAAATTTAATTTCTTAAATTTTAATTTTTACTTCTATTCAAAATTTACATGATACACATATTTCTTTCGAAAATTACACATGATACTTTTTTATATAGCAAAAAGTATGTAACTAATTTCTATCTAAAAATTGAATGTGCGAAAAATGTTCCATGTCATATAAATTTTAACTGTATAACTAAAAAAAATTCAATTTTTAATTTTGAACATACACACCAGAAAATATATTGAAATTATTCGTATATTTCCATAGAAGGAACTTAAAATAGATAAACAGCTTATTTTTCATGCATATGTAGTGTCAATCTTGCTTACTCAACGTGCTTTAAATTTGATTTTCTGCACAGCTTACTATTTATAATTATTTGCATAAAATTAATATTTAATTATATTTATCCGTAATCAAGTTACACACAATATTGAAATTAAAATGACTATTGATTACATATTATTATATATAGATAAAAAAATTAATTTGTTATACATGTATTTTTACATATAATCAATAGACTTTTTAGAACGCTCACATTTATGGCGATTATTAAATTATTATTGGAAATATGCGATATTTTTCTGGTTTCGCTTTTTGTCACTTTTCAAATAAATTATTATAAAAATTGTTTCATGCACAAATGTGTAAAATATAAGAGTATCTATTTTAAAATTTAATTATCCTAAATAATTTTATTATATCAGCTTTCATGTTAGGACAGAAAAATCGAGATATATTTCTGTGCATGAATCTTTCTATAGGAAAATTAGATGAGCAATATTGAAATTAAATTATATTTTTTCCCTCAGGTATCCGTGTTTAGTCTTTTGATAGAGGAAAATGAGAATCTCAAAGTATTACGATCTCTGAGAACACTACGCGCCCTGAGACCGCTGCGGGCGATTTCGAGATGGCAAGGCATGAGGGTAAATATCAAGAACAGGCTATAAAAAGTCGTTTGAAATCACGTACGACACATACAGTGTACGAATTATACTTGCGCATATCACCGAGAAGATCTTTTCTTTCCGATTCGTAGATCGTAGTGAACGCGTTGATGTATGCAATACCCAGTATATTCAACGTGCTCCTCGTCTGTCTCGTGTTCTGGCTTATATTCTCGATAATGGGCGTTCAATTTTTTGGTGGCAAGTTTTTCAAATGCGTCGATGAGTATGGGGAAATGCTGAACATCTCGGTAAGTGGATCATTTAATCTAATTTGAATATCGAATGATAAGAAGACAATATGCTAAAATTATTATTATATTTTTATTTAATATTTATATAATATTAATGAAAAATATTTTGTAAACGACAACAATTTAATATTAATTTAAAACTGGTAATTGCATAACTTGGCGATATAATCGTTTCATTTTTAGATAGTGAATACCAAAGAGGAGTGTTTCAACAAAAACTATTCTTGGGAAAACAGCAAGATCACTTTCGATCATGTTGGCATCGCTTACCTGGCTTTGTTTCAAGTAGCGACTTTCGAGGGATGGATGGAGGTGATGGAGGATGCCGTAGATGCAAGAGGGGTGGATTTGCAACCACAGCGAGAGGCGAATCTATACGCCTATCTTTACTTCGTTATATTCATCGTCTGCGGTTCATTCTTCACGCTTAATCTTTTTATTGGAGTGATCATAGATAATTTTAATATGCTGAAGAAAAAGGTGAGCGATACTGACATAGTCCAAAGTTTAAAAATTTAATCTTCAAAGTATTAATCTACTTTTTATTGGGGAGAATATTTTGCATATTAATATATAAAACAAGAATGATCTATTATCTATAATTATGAAAACTTTGATAATTTTAAAAGTAAAAGAACATTTGTAAATAGACAGGATGCAAAAAATTCAATTGCATGTCAAGATGATTTAACAACTTGAAAAATGCATCATTTTTTATTGAGAATTAAATTTTTTTCAGTGTATTTAAAAACATTTAAATATAATAATTTTGAATATTGATTGCAAGCTTTGTTTTCACGTGAACGAGCTGACGTAAAACTCCCATGATTCTGTTATAGAATAATATAGTGACAATTTTTCTTTCAGTATGAAGGTGGGGTGTTAGAAATGTTTTTGACCGAGAGTCAAAAACACTACTACACTGCCATGAAAAAGCTCGGCCGTAAAAAGCCGCAAAAAGTTATAAAACGTCCGATGAACCAATTCCTCGCAATGTTCTACGACCTCTCTAATTCTCGCAGGTAATTATATGTTGCTTTGTGGCCAAAAAGAGCACATTAGCACTTTGTGTAAAAAATTGTGTTGCTTATAATTGTTTGATTATTCTGTAAATTGATGTGATTTATAATACTTTGGCACCGACTTCATTCTTTATCACGATAATTAAAAAAACAACTGTCAAACAAATTTCTTTTTATACAAAACACATTTTATTTTCCATTTTAAATTATAATCAATCTTTTCCATTTTAAACTGTATCAATTATTTTTGAAAAAGTGTTTTTTTATATTTTTATAATATTACTTAACATTTTTCTATAACATTTCTTTATGAAACTTTCTCTTTATTAATGCAACTATCATCACAATTGAACTGTTGTAATATTTTTTTTATTTTTTTTCAATAAAAAGATTTATTTTCATCGCTAATAAAAATTGATTTGTAAAATTATCATGTTGTATTATTTCAATGTGTAATCTAACTATTTTATGTAAAATATTGTTTTTAATCTCTTGTATCAAGTCTTTTCATCATATATCAATCCTAATTCAAATTGAAACACTTTCTCGGTGCCAAAGTGTTAATCTGATTTTTTTTCTTAACGCAATATCAATGTATGTATATTAATTATTTATATGTGAAATGAAACACATAATGAATGTGTAGAAATGGTGCGGTCAAAGTGACGTAAACGATATCATGCGATGAATTTGATGTGGCGATCGGACTGTGGGGCATGTATTCGATTGCAGTGTATGCGCGAGCAACGCGGCAGATGCATATTTTTTTGTACAAATCATAGACATCTTACGCTAAATCGCTAACAGTGTAAACACAAGTTCAATCGACGAATACAAAACAGTCGGCGTATATATCCAACGTATATATGTACGATATGTTCCAGATATTGTGTGTACTGTTTTCTTTTGTAGATTCTCTGGCATCTTGAAAATTAATTCATAAAAATCGCTAAATTTACAATTCTCTTTATATTTATTCCAGCGCGCTTTTATGATATCTTTTAATATATATTTTATCTAATATATTTTTCATATATTTTTTAAATATATATTTTATTTAATACATTTTTAATATATTTTTTTTATTTAATATTTTTTATCTCTTGACATTTGACAGCTTGCTAATTTGACAAGATAAGTCTACTCCTATAATGATAATGTACGTGGATGTAACGGTTTGGCACAAAGTACAGATGTCTGTGTCGCAAATTGTTGTTAACAAAGTAGTTTAAGAGCTGCACGATTGTATCTCCTCATTGCTCACGCCATTGTGCTTGGATACGTGTTTCACAGAATTCACATCGCAATGTACTTTAAGATTTTCGATTAGACTCATATAGGTAGATTCTAAGAGCTCGCAGATTGCTCGAGTTATAATATTATTATTCATCAATGGTCAACAATACATAAATTAAAAATGTAAAGACCGAAATGGAACATTGTGACTTTCAGTACCAAATTTTTGAGTATTTTGAAAACTATAAAACAACAAGATAATTTGGATCAAAGGTAAGAAGGAATATACTTTACATATTTCATTTTAAAACAATTCTTTTATTTAATTCTATTTTAAAAATTAAAATTCTATTTTAAAAATTAAATAGCTATATATATTTTGCACAATTTTCTTATAAAGTAAAACTTGAATGATGTCAATTTATTAAGAGTTTTGCACTAATCTAATTATATCGTAGTTGAATTAAGATCATTATTAAGCCATGCATGAAAATTAATGCCTAATTATTTTAAATTAATACTAGAGAAATAAAAGATTTTCTTTCTAGCTGGTTGCTCTCTTTATTGTCTCATATTTAACGCCGCGAGATTCACAGAACGTTAGATAGTTTACATAAATTTCTTAATACGCACGTGAAGTATTCGTTTTTTTGTGCGATAACATTTTTCTCCCTGTGTAACCATTGCAGTATGTATACAAATCACCATAACACAATGCGTGAATTCTCTTTTCAGCACTTCTGGCAAAAGGCAAAAGACTGCGGAAGATAAATGTTGCGACTTAGCATTCTGTTACTCGAAGTAATGCAAAATCGATATCCGAAGGACATTTACGCTCGCCGTCTCTAAATTGTAGATTCATTGTCGGTATATAGTGATATACAATAGTACATAATAGACGAGATAAGCTGCAGTCTGAAAGCTTGCGCAAATATCATGACTATAATTTTGCTTACTGGTTATTAGATGTGAACTCTGTGTCCTCCTTTGTTTTCTCATAAATGAAATCCATGCGAATGTAAAATTAACTGCATAAATAGAGGATTGTATACTAGAATTATTATAGCAATATGTGTGACTTGCAAATGAGAAAATTCCATCCTTTTAACAAGCTTAGAATCGTAAATTTGTACAGTATATGATGCATATTTTTGCACCAGAGCAATTGCAGAAATTATTAATAACAGATTATTGGATTACTGATATCATATTATTGAATTACTGGTATAATTTCTGTTTTTCCCATCAATATATACTATGTTTTATTTCAAGCAGCAGAAAACACAAATGAGAATTAAATATAAAGTTTGCCCGTGTATATATCGATGACGGATACTATTTACGCCATTTTTACCGCACGAACGTTAAACGTGCATGCATCATGTGTTAGCATCATAAGAGGACTAATAATTAATCGAAGGAGATTAAAGGAGATTTTGGTGAATTTATTGCAAAAGAATATGATAAAATCTAACTACCGCTCTTTTCAGATTCGAAATAGCTATCTTCGTTTTGATATTTCTCAACATGCTGACAATGGGAATCGAGCACTATAATCAACCGCATCCCATTTTCTTCGTCCTCGAAGTATCGAATGCGTTTTTTACGACCGTCTTCGGTCTGGAGGCGATCGTCAAGATAGTAGGTCTGCGTTACCATTATTTCACGGTACCGTGGAATCTCTTCGACTTCTTACTGGTGTTGGCGTCTATCCTGGGTATACTGATGGAGGACATTATGATAGACTTCCCTGTGTCCCCGACGCTCTTGCGAGTCGTGAGGGTGTTCAGAATCGGCAGAATCTTGAGGCTCATCAAGGCCGCGAAAGGTATCCGCAAGCTGCTCTTCGCCCTTGTCGTCAGTCTTCCAGCGCTCTTCAACATTGGGGCTCTGCTGGCCTTAATCACGTTCATCTACGCCATCATCGGCATGTCTGTTTTCGGACATGTTAGGAAACAGGGCGCATTGGACGATATGGTGAGTACAGATGCTCAAACAATTATATTGTAAAATATATTTTTATTTATAGATTTTATTTATAGACTAGATTTATTGTTATATTAAATCGACACAATTTTTTTAGCGTTACACACTTTAATTAAAATTATATCCTTGTATAAAGTGAAAAAATGATATTTATTGAGTCCATATATTCGTAAAGATAAAAATATAGAAGAATAAAGTGAAAAATATTTTTTTAAATTTATTTTACATGGAAATAAATCTATTAAAGTTATTTTGTATCTTAGGTGAACTTTGAAACCTTTGGTAGAAGTATGCAGCTACTGTTCCGCTTGATGACTTCGGCCGGGTGGAATGACGTATTAGAATCGCTGATGGTGCAACCACCCGAATGCGATCCCACCTCAAACAGTCGACAAATGAACGGAGATTGTGGATACCCTTTGCTAGCGATTACGTACTTCACATCATTTATTATCATTAGCTATATGATAGTCATTAATATGTATATTGCCATCATCTTAGAGAATTTCAATCAAGCTCATCAAGAGGAGGAGATTGGTATCGTTGAGGATGACTTAGAGATGTTTTATATCCGATGGTCGAAGTAAGTATTTTTTTTTTGCCATTTTGTGTTCTTCGAATATTTTAATTAATTTTTTGTGTTTTAAAAATTATTTATTTTTATACATCTTTAAAAATATCAGTAGTTTTTTTGAGAAATGAGATAATAATTATAATAAAGACTAATAAAATAATAGTTTCATCATGATTTTGAATTTAAAATTTCCGTTTTTCCAGGTACGATCCACATGCAACTCAATTTATCAGCTTCTCGCAATTGAGTGATTTTATAGCAAGCCTAGACCCACCGCTGGGGATATCAAAGCCTAACGTCGTGGCGTTGGTCAGCTTTAATCTTCCCATCGCAAAAGGTCACAAGATTCATTGTCTGGACATCCTGCACGCACTCGTCAAGCACGTTCTCGGGCACGTCGAGGAGTCGGATGATTTTAGAAAGCTACAAGAACAAATGGATGTTAAGTTCAAAAAGCAGTTTCCAACAAGGAAAGAATTAGAGATAGTGTCTTCCACGAGAATCTGGAAGCGACAAGACAAAGCTGCCAGATTGATTCAACGTTGCATAAGGGAGTACATTGCGTGAGTATAAGCAGTTGTTTTCACTCGAAAAGATGACATTTTTTTATACAACTTTCCCAAACATTAAGAGAAATAATTGTTATTTATAGATATCAACATATTAATTCACATATATTGAAAAATTCAAAATAATTCAAAATAACTACAATTAATATCTATAAATAAGAATATAATAATATAAGGAAATGATCTTACTCGCAGACTGAAAAAGGAGCGCGAGAGGATTGCCCAAGAGGTAGATTCGCAGACGCAAACGTCAAGCCCAGGTGGAACGGATGGTGGTAGGGGCGGAAGTGGATGGAGCGGCAAGCTGTCAGCTCTGCTGCACGTGCACCGGGGTAGCCGGGCTAGTAGTCGCAAGTCCTCCAGGGCCAGCGACGCCAGCGATCTCAGCGAACTTGGCTCCGCTTCGGCGTGGCTGTTCCCTAATCTTCCTCTGCTGTTGCTCTCCGGCGCCACCGGAACCCACGAGGACCTGCAACCTCCGGCACTAACCGTGTCCCGTCCCTCACCGACCACTGAGCAACCTTCCGCCGCTTCCAGTTCCGGCTCGGACTCTCACGTCACTGTCAGGTTGATTTCTTTTTATTCATACATCTCATAATAAAAATGAGATTATTTTGGGAATCATTCGAATTATTTCGAAGAGATCACTCAGAATCGCCTGTTGGACGGGATCGCATATTGGACGAAATTCGTCTGTCAGTATATGTAATTCGTATAAGATCACTTTATTCTGACTTATTTTTCGAGTTTACGATTGATACGAAATTGATACGAGTTTATTGATTGATACGAATTCAAGTTTATTGCATCTCTCGTATGTTACTTTGGTTAAATTGATTAATGATGACCCACTATTTATCTACGCTTAAGATCCAATTGTATATTTATTTTATCCCAAGTTTAATTAAATTAATTATTTTTAAATTAAATATATTATTTTCCAAATAAATCAACAGAATATAATAATAATTGTATATTTAATATATTTGCATATTTCGTCATTTTATAAAATATTAAATACAAGAGCAAATTTACTATTGTGAAAATATTTAGTTTAAATTTAATTTTAACTATACAATTACAGAGGAAAATAAAATATTCATAATAATATTGGCCTGAGGAGTTTGTAATAACAATTATATTAACACGATTTATTATATATGTATGGTATATATCGTACAATTAATTTTGCACATCATACATGTTATGTCACGATCCATATAAAAGAATTAATCTATTTTTTCTTTTTCAAAACTCCTCAGGCAAGAAAATGAGCAGGTAAACCTGAATATATACATATAGAATTTTTCAAATTTTATTGTTTGATTTGTGTATGATGCCACATAAAATAAAAATTAAAGTATTGTTTAGCAGTTGAAGTATTATATAGTATTGTATTTTATCGCCAGAAAATATATAGCATTTATTTGTCTCATTTCATAGTTCATGAATTTAGTACGTTATAAAATATATCAAACTCTGTATAAATTTCAAGTGCAGATTTCAAAAACATAATTTAAAGAACATTATTTTAGCGGATTAGCAGTAAGCAAATACATTAGTAAATTAGAAGAAGAAAGCTCGTTGCGCACAATTTAATCTTTATAATAATTCATTAACTCATTATCGGTTTGTGATGAACGTAGTTAAGTGAAACAGTTATTGAGTTATTGTTATTACATCGATTATTATACGGCATTGACATTTCGTATGACATTTAGGTATATCATTAGATTAACTGTCAGCATCGTGTCATGCTTCGGTTTAGTCAGCTTTAAGTAAAACATTTCTTCCAATTGAGATATATGATTTCGAATTTTGCATGCTAAATGTATCTGTAATAATTTTATATAGCGTGCATCAGGGAGAGAAGTATAATTAAGAGATGCAAAACATTTTATTCGTATTATTGTAAGAAGTATATCGTTGCTCCTGTTTTATATACCGCTTTACATAGATAAAAGTTACATAAAGCATAAGAAAGTATTAATAACATTTTTTCTAGGATACATTCAATTATATCTTTATAATTATTGTATCACATTTCCCAAATTCTTTTAAACATATTTGCTGGGCAGATTTAAATTGTAAATAAATCAAACTCGAATATATATCCTATTAAGTATATCAACTTATATAGCACGAAAATGCAAAAACTCGCTCATAACGAGTGGATCTCTGTTCATAGATCGTTGGGTCCCACGCTGGGCCGACAGGATGCAGTGGAGAAATATCCGGAGGAGGATGTAACTAGCCCGCCGATCTCGAAGCGCGGTTCAACCCTGAGGCCTAGCGGCACCGCTCTCTCGCTCAACGCGCTGCAGCGAGATATCAAAGAAGCATTTAATCGACGTTGCGGCAGTCTGAGACGACGGGCGCCACAGCCAGAGCCAGTACGGCTGCCGATCGAGGGTAGCGATAGAGTAAGTATCCTAGTGACAGAACCGAGTCCGGAAAATACGGCGCCTCCTACGAGACCACCGCTGCTGCGACAACAATCAGAGGCGACGGTGGTACATGTGCTGGTGCACAGGGAGAGCGAGGAGTATCAGGATACACCGGACGACAGCTGATCCTAGTCGACAGTAAGCGATCACGACGGATAGCGACGAACAGCAGCGATGCGATACAGTGATAATATATACGTAGACGTATATGTATATACATATGTAAACTTTTCACACACAGCGCGCAGTTCTAACTAGGTAGGGCGATGATTCGCGTGGCTTTCTTTGGGAGGTAAATCCTCTCGAGATGAAGTTGCGTATATCATGTATGCATGTGTTATGTATGCGTGTGTCGTCGAATGAGACTGTAGTAGCGATGGTTCTCGGCCGAAGAAACTAATGGCGATAGTAATACTTCTTTTTTGAATTGTATAAATTGTATAAAAATTTTTTCGAATATCCATTCTTACAAAAGCACATTTTCTATCGAATCTGTGATGTCTTCAACTTTAGAAATATTATTAAAATTGACCGATTGCGCTTGTATTACTATAAAAATGCTTCCTAATACGACGGTCGTTATAAATCAATATGATTATTAGAATTGTAGTAAACGACAAGGAGTGCTAATCTTGTAATGATCTAGCGCAATCTTGTTATATCTAACACTTATAATGAGCTGGCATGACATTTTATTTTTAATCAAGGTAAATTTTTTGATTTACGATGCTTTTATTAGCTCAAGAATTATGCCTTGTAAAGTAGTATAACTACAAGAAAATTTAGTGCACAATTTTTCAAACATCTGCCTAATCAAGAAATTTAATTCTTTCGAGATAATAAACATTTGCTCCATTATAAAGAAAGATAGGTTGAGAGCCATTGCACCAGAAGACGAAGAAAGGGACAAGGATGAAATTGAAGAGAAATTTTCGACAATTTTTCCATTAAAATCACAAGTGGAATGCGTCATTCGGGGAACTTGGATATCATTACTGTTGACGTCAATTTTATTTTTTGACGAAACTACGTACAATATACTGGGTTCCCCATAATGACGAACGCGAATTAATTAAAGAATTGCCAGCGTAGCGGAAATACCAGATGTAGCCGTTTTCGAAAAACGAGAGTACAGTTTGTTACAAGAATGCATCAGTTCTGGAAGTGGATCAAAATTTGATAAGATTCAAACTTGAAAATTAAAAAATAAAATAAATGCGAGTTTAGATAGAATTTGCAATGATTTCGATGATTGCTTCGATCAATGAGAATTATTATTATGAAAATATTATTATATCAACAGAAAATTAATCCGCAGTAGTAGATATCAGTGTACATAGTATAAATAACGAATACTTTATTAATTTTTGCTACGTAAAAAGATCCACATGATGCGATTGACGAATCATTACTAATACTAATATTATCGTAAATTCTAAGAGCAATTCTAACGCTTTCCAAGAACGTTTTGAAGTATAAATGTTCATAAATTTTAATCGCGCACACTTTGTGTGTGTGTGTGTGTGTGTGTGTGTGTGTGTGTGTGTGTGTGTGTGTGTGTGTGTGTGTGTGTGTGTGTGTGTGTGTGTGTGTGTGTGTTGTGTCTGTGTCTGTGACTGTGTGTAATCATATTTATATCAAATTATTCGCAGCACTTACTTTAACAGTTTTGGCTACGCCATAATTAATATTAAATAGAAGTCATAGAAAAGGAAATCTTTATCGATCAGAAAGAACAATATTGTATTAATCGCGATGAATGCATTAAGCTATAAGTTATTAATACAAAATAATCAGCGTTAGTCGACGCTCTTATGACTATATTCAAATTTATTGCATAATCTCAATTACGAATAACTATTTTGAAATAAGATTCAATTGTCAAAACAATGGACTTTCGTCCAAGATAGCGACTATTTCTAGTAAGTTACGCTACCCTGGTAAAAGTGCGCTTTTAGTTTATTTAATTGAAATTGCTTCTTCGAATAAATTTTGAAAAAATTTAATCTCTCCCTCTCTCTTCTTCAATATATTTAAATGACAATTGTGTATAGACATAATATCTAAATTATCACTTTATCGTTAGTTAAATTATATAAATAACAAGATAAATCGTTGTTTTATTACATATTTATTTTATTATGTCAGGAAAAAGAGAGAAAGAGAGAAAAATAATTTAGCATTACATGTAGTCATGTACATGTCTAACACCAAAACTCTAAATCCAGAATTTTTAAAATATTGAAACTTTTCAATATATTAAAATTACAAATTGGATTTTTTTCTATAGAAGTAATTGGAATTTTTAACAATAAAATTTTAAACTAATTGTTCAAAAGCGCTTGTGCATGATTTGTAAATCACGTACAAGTGTGATTATATTCATTATCTCATCAATGATAATTAATGAGATAATGAGTACAATTATTTCATTAACTACAAAGTCGATCTCAATCAGTCGCTTACTACTTCGAATAACGCGCATTACAATTTAATTCCATTAAATTCTTGTAGGTATCACCCTAAAAAATAGTTTTTTAATACTGATTTAACATGGCTTCAGAGATATCGAGAGAATAATATTTGCACTCGCGCGTACACACATAGAAGCGCTTCTCTCTCGATAAGAATAATAAAAAAACTAAGTCTTTTTACTAACTCTATACATTTATATACGTCGTGTGTGATCCTTGTCTCTTACATCGTAATTAAGGGTCGGACCAAATTTAGGCACACATTCGACTCCGTTGAACGATTTTTCCTCGGAAAAAGAAAAAGACAGAAAATCTAGATTGTTAGCACATAGATAATGCAGACCGCCCGGAGTTTGCTACACGAAGAACGAATTTTATCGGTATACAAAAAAGAGTACTGCCTCAAATCTTAGGGTAAATTACTCGCTAACGACGAGAAAGATCGAAAAAATGAGTAAAACAGACGGAAATAATGTGGCTTCCTTCGGTGATCATAATTATTATCGTATTCTGTTTTGTTCTCCATGATAGTGCAGGGTTTCCAATAATTGATGAACAACATAGATATGCATAGCGTTAAATTTAAATTAATTTTTCATGCAAAAATGTCGAAGTATGAATCGAAGTTTTCCAAATCGTAAACTGTAAATACAATTTTACAAGAATTAAGCTTCAGAAATGTAAAGTGGCGCAAATTATTAATCCATTTAATTTAAAATGAGTCCTATTATATTTTAATTTAAAATACTAAAGTATCAAATGTTTTTTGGGAATAAATCCTTTCTAATATTCTCGCTGAGAAAGTAATCAATTTCAAATTTTTCACTAGAAAAGAAAGTATTAATTATTTTTCTTCAATTCTTGGATACCTTGTATGCATTTTTGACATCGCACTATCATAATTGTTCGATTGATTATGCGCGTTTTTATTCATACAAATGTAGAAATTATCGAATGAATATTAAAATCAATGTTTCACTTACTCATCATTATTTATTAGCGGCGCTTTTAGCTTATATCTTTCTCGACTTTCTCGATTGTCCGCATTGTAGAAAATTAAAATTTCGATAGCAAGATATTACAATTGTTTTAAATATGAGAAATGTCTCAATATATAATCTTCTCTAATCTTAATCATTGTATTATGTTATATATTTTAATCATTTTATAAATCTTTGAATTTTTGCTCGTATCTCACATTACAAATGTAAATTATGTAAATCAGCGAACGCATAATTCATGAGGGGATTCTTGTATCAGAAGTTGCGTTGAAGATTGAGATTACATCGAAATCGCATTAAGGTTAATTAAAACAAAAGCGGCAAAAATTTCTTTGCCCTAACTGATTGAATCCTACGCAATATCGATTCGCTATCTCAATTTTCAACGTGATCTAATATAAATGTAAGAATTTTGAATTCGATTATCAATGATAATATTAATCGCATAATCAGTAGATCCACTTTTTAATCGTAAAGAAAAATCATTTAAAACTTGCCGCGATTTCGTAATATTCACATAGCAGAACGCTTTTTAATTTTCTCAAGTTTACATCATATCGTTCATAGTTTTATCATAAATTTTTCAAAATCTTTTCTTTCGTACTATAATGTATTGTATTTATATTTTATATAAGTTTCAACTTATTTTTACAGAGAATTTTGCGAAATTAAATTAAGTTTCAATTAAATTAAAATAAATTTTTATCTTGTAAACTTTTTTTAAAACAGAAAGCAATGATTGAAATGTCAGTCTTGAAAATATCACTATTATCTTTATTGATTGAGCCTAGAGTTGCACCTGTGTTTCATTGTTATTATTAAAAAATACTATGTTTTGCAAAAAGGAAAAGCACGTGAGGTTGGCTTCTCGCTAGATTTCATTAGTTCTAAACTGCTTTAAAACTGAAGAATACATGCGAGTGTATATTTGGATTTTTATGTACAACGAATTATTTTAAGGGACATCTCGTAATCGTATTTTTTATCCTAAATAAGTGTTATGTTTCGCGCGCACGATATGAATCTTCCGAGAAATTTTCAACATCGTCATTTCAGAGAGGAAGAGATATCAAATTCTTCCCCATAGTTCTTTCTCTCCTTCATAGATGAAACGTTGCCGTTAAAATGCCACAATCTCACGCGTTGACCTATAGTGCCTATTATCAATTAGAAGACACACCGAATGATTAGGTATTATTATTGAAAACCATTTTACAAGCATCCCAGTTTGCGTAGTGCAAATATCTGATTGGTATCCTCGAATATTTAATGTTCCGCAATATTTAATAACATATCTACGTAAAACATATATATAATGATAAGGATAATTTTTTAGGCATTGCAGATATTTAAACATTATGTATAAATAATAAAAAATGAAAATACATTTATTTTAATAAAAAGTTTCTTAAATAAAAATAAATCACAACGTCTTTATGATTTAAAGATTATTATTGAGATATCTCTTTAAAATTTTATTTGCATCAAAAATAAAGACGCTTTCGATATTCAGGATATCCAAAATATAAATACGTTCATCAGATATTAACGCTACACGAGATAACAACGTTGATACGTTATGCATAGAGTAAATTAGGTCCGTGTAACATTATATTACGATATATTACTATGTCGAAGACGTTAATAATCAGATTGTAGTGTAGTGATTGTTTTGTGCTTGACAAGCTTGACAATTCAGTTTGCGCGTGCATGTGCGAAGAAACAAGGACGTAAAAAAAAAGAAAGCGGAAGAATGTTTCCTCGATAGGCAATCTGGGGGTGAATCGGCGAACAGGTCTGGGATCCTCGGGAGCTGGTTTTCACGAGGCATATATATGATAAAATATTATATGTCAATTAAAATTAATATATATAAATATACTATATACATACATATACGAAAGCGCGAAACACATGCACACAAAATGAAAAGAGTTTGACATAAAATATCTTGTCATACGATTGCGTGCACGCACATCTGTATTTTGCGTATATGCACGTATATATTTGTACATATATACATATATGTATGTATGTATGTAAATGTATATGTACGTATGTATGTACATATATAAAGTGAAATATTACAATACTCCTGTTATCATAAAACAGAACAGAAGAGACTGGATGCGCATATGATATATATATAGAGTTGCACTCTTACGAAGTTGCATCTTGTTCGACAATTATTGTACAATCATGCGAGGGTGGATCGCCCTATTGTAAAAGAAATTACTTTATATATTAGAGCACTATAATTTAGCCTTTCTAATCGCGCGTCTGCGTATGTGTGCGAATGAAATAATAAAATCGCGTATGCTCAAGCCTACACATACTCATACTCTTGCTGATATATACATATAACATATACACACGTGCGGTAAAATATTATACATATAAATATACGTATATATAATTAGAGATACATATATAAAGTCGAGATAACGAGACGATGATTTATATCACTGTTTTCTTGGAGTTGCAATATCGCTCTAGATTTAGAACCAGTTCAGGTGCGAAAAAGAAAGAGAGAAAGAGAGAGTTTGTAATAGAAGTAAAGGCGATTTATATATTGCTGTGAGCTTTTTCAAATCAACTCTCCTGCTCTTTTCTCTCCCTCTTTCTCGCTCTCGCTTGAGATCGGGAGCTCAAGTTTATGTTTTACCAAGAGCCCCTCTGCGTGCTATCGAGTTCTAAAACCATGAGATAAGGGATAATCTATCGCAGATTACATATAGATGAATTGTATATTCAGATAATATAATGCACAGGGCAAATTACATAGAAAAAAAAATATATATATATAAATATATATATAAGCCGTTAGTGTCTTTAAAATATCCGATTGAGATGTGTACGCGATCTCTGTAAATGCGAAAAAATCTGCTCTGGTTAAAGGCAATACAATGCGGCTGCTTCTTTGAAATGTGTAAGGAGTTACACATTAAATACACCTGTTAGAGTCCGTTGCTTTCAATCGCAAATCCCCAATGTCGTCAGAGATGCGTTTTTGAGCCTGCGGAAAATAGGCGAATTTTAAGAAAAGGATTAAGGAAATTTACATGTAAGAAAATTTCAAGTTTTAATTTTCATTATTAGAAATTAATTTTTCCAATTGTTGGTTCTTTTTTTATGTTTTTATATTTTCTCTGCTTCACAGTATCAATGCTCGCAAAGAGCAATCGGGGAGTGAGATAAACTATAATGCCTTAATCTTAGAAATTAGAAGAATTTCTTTCATAATCATTCAAACTTTCGCCAATCTTTCGTGTTTCTTTCAATTTATCAACATATAAACTTTACACACATGTACATAATATATAAAATTGGAAATTAAAAAAGAATTTCATTCTTCTTAATAAAAATAACATTTAAATATCAAAAGCAAATAGCAGCTAAATAAAAATAATTAAGCTCAACAATTTTAAAGATGTAATCTTATGTGATATCATAATTATGCGAATTATAATATTTTATCATTTCGAAACTATATATTTAAAATTCTATATGATTATAAAATAGAAAAATATACAATTTTATTCAAAATTATTACAGAAAATTAAATTAATAATTTTAAAGTGATAGAAATCATTTTTGACTATCATAATTTGCAAATATCTAAAATCTAGACATTAGCAAATTTACAGAAAATATTAATACGTTTTCAATTTGCGTATCTTTCTGGAAAAAAACTTGCTAAGAAACATGAAAGAAAAAGTGAAACCTGCATGAGGCGAATGTTGGATTTATACCGAGCTTAAAATATTTTATGGTTTAGCAAATATAAAAATATCGACGACGATTTCGTATTAAAATAATAATTCTCACTCGCAGTTTGTAAAAAGACGCGGAATGTCCTGCATTAATCCATTGCTCCCCTTCGCAAAAGGAAAGAAAGGTCAAATTAGAGGAAATCCAGCAGCGAGATTGATCTAAATTGGACTAAAATTGAATTTCCCAAAATGCCAAATCTCTCTCTTTCTTTCTCTTTAATGATTTCCTCTGATTTGTTCGCTCCTTTTTTTTGCAGAGCAAATATCTAGGAAATTAATAGATACCATAAAATGTTTTACACACGATTTAGCGGTATATTACGCCTCTCTCGGAGATTCTCTCCGCGATTTAAGAGCGCAACTTGTATATATTTTTCTCTTACTTTTATATAATTTCTTCTTTCATCCTATTATACTTTTTATAACGTCGTATTTCTCATATTCCGCTCTTGTGAGATTGCGCACGTCTTTTTTCTTCGCTTTATCCTCTTAATTAATAAATATGTAATTACATAAGGGTCCGTTGCAACGATCTCATTTAATTCCAACGAGCAATTTCCTGTTTATTTCCAAATTATAACTAGTTGTTACAGAAAGCGACCCGTATTGTCTTTTTCATTGATAATAAAAAAGAACTTTTAAGAAGAAGTCATACGGTGATTATCTCGATTTGTTTATACTCTTCAAAGGAAAGAGAGAGGGAGAGTTTAACGCACCAAGATTTCTCAACTTTTAATGTTGCATAATTGTTGATGCTCGTTTATAATGGAAAACACATTCTTACATTTTTTTAAGTTTAAATCCAATGAAAATGATTGGAAAAATTTTGAACATTTGTGGAACAATCCTTACAAATAAGAAAATTTTTAATTATAGTGAGTAAAATGTAAAAATGAAGCGCATTGGTGCAACGGGCCCGAAGAAATTCGCATTGTTTAATGCGACATTAAGTCTACCGAGACATTGTAACACACGATCTTCGATAATTTTAGATTAGTCTTGAATTCGAATGCGTATTGTATAATATTCCTCATTTTACTCTCCGCCTAAGTCGAAGGCGCGCAAACTCGTCAATACACAACGTTGTTAATAACATTGTAGTATATAATTATAAATAATAAAACAAAACGAAATAATAATATTAGAAATGTTATAATGTTATTCAATTCGTTGTTTCACTGGGACGTCATTTCTTCCACCCGTAATCTTCTTCCAAATATTTAAAACATATTAAAATATATTAATTTTATTCATTAAATTGCGTTTGATAATATAGATTAAAATAAATACATGTACATGTTATAAATTTTTCCTTTACTTATTCAATAAAATAAAATAAATTTTAAATTCTTCCCACAAGATTTAGCACTTATGAATGACATAGTCCGTTTTTTCAGTCAAATTATTACATTTTTCAATCAATTCTATAATTTTAAATCAACAATCTTTGTATTCTAATATTTTATTTATTAAATTTTTTGCGTCCTTTAATTGTATTGTCTCATTATTTTGTAAGGAATAATTGTCTATATATAATTAGAAATTATATTAAAAAATATAATGTTTTAAATACATATAATTATTTGCATTATGATACATATTTGTTACAAGACTTCTTATATTAAATGACTACAATTAGTAATGTGCTCATCATTGCTATCACATAAGTAATTAGCTTGATGAAGCCTATTATTTAGTTGAAACTCTGGTACGTTTATTCCAAGAGAAATTTATTCCATAACTGCGAGGTTTTGGCTGATTGAGGTTTGGTTTCTGCACATAATACTCCCAACCCATCTTCTTGCAGTGTGCGATTGCCTCTTCTTTGGTTGCAAAATTAACTTGGATGTTTGACATGGGATCTCCACTAAATTAAAAAATTTATATAAGTATATAAAATAATTATGCAACAAAATATTAATGCATATGATAAGTATCTTAATTAAAATATATCCTAATATTTATATATAATATTAATATATATATAATATTATAATATATATTATATATAATATTATATATAATAATATTTATATATAATATTTGCCTAGAAGTCCATCCCATCAGTGGATTCTCCCAGCGTTCACGTGTATCAAAGTCCATCTGCCAAAACTGAGTGTTATTTGTTCCAGATTGCATGGCACTTTTGGCAGGCTGATAAATCCGCACTCTGCGAGTTTTGATATGTTCCTCGGGAACACCAGATACATATCCTACATTTTCATCAGTTACAGTAATTGGGTTTTTCAAAGCTTCTAGATATTCAGTTTCTTCTTTCGATAGTACAGCCTCTTGAAAATTCTTACGCACTGCTGGTTTCTTTTCCACTTCTATACTTTTATTCGAAAATAATCTGCTCCATCTGTATACGAAAAAGATCTTTACAATTTTATAAATTTTAATCTTATCTTTTAGATATTATAAGTCAAAGTATACTTAATATTAATGTTATATATTTATATATGTTATATTTAATGTATTATATATTTATGTGTCAATTTTAATTTGCACAATTGCAATTTAATTATATATTCTTATCAATTAAGAGCTCAAAAAATAAACTGTTATTGGTTTTCCCAACACTATAAAAATGTATAGTTTCTGACTAGCTTTGTTATAAACTATCGTTCACGTAAATGTATATCACACAGATAAAATTTTGAATTTTAATAAGTTACATATTTCATGATAATATTTAATCAATCTTATTAGCTATTACAACTATTATATAAAGTTGTAAGGTTATGTCCTGTTTATCTTTCTATCATATAGAAAAGACACTTGAAAAATATTACAGCAAGCTCACCCAAGATTGTTCTCGTTAATTCCAATCGCACATTGTCGCAGTAATGCACGGGATGCCATTCTTTCGTTCGGAAAACGTAAATGACAAGTCGGATGCAAAGACCATGAGACAACTTACAGTAAACCTAGTTAAAGATGTCAGATCGCAAGACAACAACTGACTGAGCTGACGCCTGGCGCTGGCTTGCAATCGATGCGCGGCGCGATCATATTTTATTATAATATACTTGATTTTCACATAACGTGAAACATTTTCTTCCTGTTCTTTTTTTAAAAAACTAGAATATTACACGTGAATCTTTTATTCCTCCATGTCATGTACTATTTAATAAATTACATTTTAAAAAATCGGAAATTTAAAAAAATTACAATTTAAAAAATCGGGAATTAAAAAAATGCCTTTATCAATACTTAAAATATAATTACATACTGATAAATATATAAACATATATGTTATTTAATCGGGATTTATCATATAAAATTGAGCATTGTTCCTGAACATATTTCGTAGAGATATGCTAGTAATAATACAGGTTACTAACAATAATATATCTTTGATATCCTCGAAAATTTACGTCTGAATTATCAGGAGAATATGTTTTCCGAGGAGGTCGATAATGCAATTCACGAGTGATAGCACATCTTAATATTTATGAAGAAATGCAATTCACACAAGTAATAATATGTGTCTTATAATACGCTCGAAAATTCGTCTGAATCAATAGAAGAATTATTTTGTGAAGAGATAAGTTCACAGGCAATAACGTATCTGAAAATTCGTTTCTGAATTATTAAGAGAATATATTTAATAAAGAGATATTCTAATAATGCAGACATTATTAACAATAATGTCTTTCAATATCCGCGAAAATTAGCGTCCGAGTTATCAGGAGAATATAATTTGCGAAGAAGTTAGTGATGCGAAGAAGTTCATGAGCACTAAATGTATCTTACGCTCGAAAATTTATTTCTGAGTTATTAGGAGAATATATTTCGTAAAGAGGTATTCCTGATCGTGTAGAGGAGCGGTAAGTACTTTAGTTCCCCTCTTGCGAAGTAACGCATACTTCTTCGCTTAATATATTCTTCTAATAACTCGGAAATAAATTTTCGAGTTATTAGGAGAATATATTAAGCGAAGAAGTATGCGTTACCTCGCAAGAGGGGGACTAAAGTACTTACCGCTCCTCTACACGATCAGGAATACCTTTTTAAGCAGTTTGTCTATTTTAATATATTTTTTTATAAGTTAAATTGAAAAGATAAACGTGTAAATAGCTTATATTAATTATAATATATTAAATAAATAATTATAATATATTAATTATATCAATAATATATAATGGATATATAATTATTACAATTCTAATTATTAATTCATTTTATTCATCTATTTGTTGCTCCAAATTTCAATGGCAGAATGTTCACCGATTCCACGAGAAAAAACTCCATTAATTCCTTCATAAATAATGTCGATGATGCAGTTGATGAGAGGTGTTTTTTAATAATTATTCAAATTATTCAAAAGTTGTAACTTGAGTTAATAAAAGAATATGTTTTATGAAGAAATGCAATTCACACAAGTAATAATATGTGTCTTATAATACGCTCGATATTCTAATAATGCAGACATTATTAACAATAATGTCTTTCAATATCCGCGAAAATTAGCGTCCGAGTTATCAGGAGAATATAATTTGCGAAGAAGTTAGTGATGCGAAGAAGTTCATGAGCACTAAATGTATCTTACGCTCGAAAATTTATTTCTGAGTTATTAGGAGAATATATTTCGTAAAAAGGTATTCCTGATCGTGTAGAGGAGCGGTAAGTACTTTAGTCCCTCTTGCAAGTAACGCATACTTCTTCGCTTAATATATTCCTAATAACTCGGAAATAAATTTTCGAGTAAGGAGAATATATTAAGCGAAGAAGTATGCTTACTCGCAAAACTAAAGTACTTACCGCTCCTCTAACGATCAGGAATACCTTTTAAGCAGTGTCTATTTAATATATTTTTTATAAGTTAAATTGAAAAGATAAACGTGTAAATAGCTTATATTAATTATAATATATTAAATAAATAATTATAATATATTAATTATATCAATAATATATAATGGATATATAATTATTACAATTCTAATTATTAATTCATTTTATTCATCTATTTGTTGCTCCAAATTTCAATGGCAGAATGTTCACCGATTCCACGAGAAAAAACTCCATTAATTCCTTCATAAATAATGTCGATGATGCAGTTGATGAGAGGTGTTTTTTAATAATTATTCAAATTATTCAAAAGTTGTAACTTGAGTTAATAAAAGAATATGTTTTATGAAGAAATGCAATTCACACAAGTAATAATATGTGTCTTATAATACGCTCGATATTCTAATAATGCAGACATTATTAACAATAATGTCTTTCAATATCCGCGAAAATTAGCGTCCGAGTTATCAGGAGAATATAATTTGCGAAGAAGTTAGTGATGCGAAGAAGTTCATGAGCACTAAATGTATCTTACGCTCGAAAATTTATTTCTGAGTTATTAGGAGAATATATTTCGTAAAGAGGTATTCCTGATCGTGTAGAGGAGCGGTAAGTACTTTAGTCCCTTTCTTGCAAAGTAACGCATACTTCTTCGCTTAATATATTCCCCTAATAACTCGGAAATAAATTTTCAAGCGTAAGATACATTTAGTGCTCATGAACTTCTTCGCATCACTAACTTCTTCGCAAATTATATTCTCCTGATAACTCGGACGCTAATTTTCGCGGATATTGAAAGACATTATTGTAATGTCTGCATTATTAGAATATCGAGCGTATTATAAGACACATATTATTACTTGTGTGAATTGCATTTCTTCATAAAACATATTCTTTTATTAACTCAAGTCACAACTTTTGAATAATTTGAATAATTATTAAAAAACATCTCTCATCAACTGCATCATCGACATTATTTATGAAGGAATTAATGGAGTTTTTTCTCGTGGAATCGGTGAACATTCTGCCATTGAAATTTGGAGCAACAAATAGATGAATAAAATGAATCAATAATTAGAATTGTAATAATTATATATCCATTATATATTATTGATATAATTAATATATTATAATTATTTATTTAATATATTATAATTAATATAAGCTATTTACACGTTTATCTTTTCAATTTAACTTATAAAAAAATATATTAAAATAGACAAACTGCTTAAAAAGGTATTCCTGATCGTGTAGAGGAGCGGTAAGTACTTTAGTCCCTCTCTTGCGAGGTAACGCATACTTCTTCGCTTAATATATTCTCCTAATAACTCGAAAATTTATTTCCGAGTTATTAGGAGAATATATTAAGCGAAGAAGTATGCGTTACTTCGCAAGAGGGGGACTAAAATACTTACCGCTCCTCTACACGATCAGGAATACCTCTTTACGAAATATATTCTCCTAATAACTCAGAAATAAATTTTCGAGCGTAAGATACATTTAGTGCTCATGAACTTCTTCGCATCACTAACTTCTTCGCAAATTATATTCTCCTGATAACTCGGACGCTAATTTTCGCGGATATTGAAAGACATTATTGTAATGTCTGCATTATTAGAATATCGAGCGTATTATAAGACACATATTATTACTTGTGGGAATTGCATTTCTTCATAAAACATATTCTTTTATTAACTCAAGTTACAACTTTTGAATAATTTGAATAATTATTAAAAAACATCTCTCATCAACTGCATCATCGACATTATTTATGAAGGAATTAATGGAGTTTTTTCTCGTGGAATCGGTGAACATTCTGCCATTGAAATTTGGAGCAACAAATAGATGAATAAAATGAATCAATAATTAGAATTGTAATAATTATATATCCATTATATATTATTGATATAATTAATATATTATAATTATTTATTTAATATATTATGATTAATATAAGCTATTTACACGTTTATCTTTTCAATTTAACTTATAAAAAAATATATTAAAAAAGACAAACTGCTTCTTGTACAAAGAAATTAGAATTTTTAAAATTTTTTAATTATTTTAGTCTTATCAAAATTCATAAAGATTGTTGTTCTTTCGTTTAAGTAACTAAATAATTATCTTATGAAATCTGCTTACTTTTTTATAATCTTTATTAAATTTATCCGCTTACTTTTTTTATAATCTTTATTAAATTGATAATTTGATTTTGTATATCGATTTGCTTTTCGTTGTCGAAAGATCGTGCAATTCGTACATTATAAAATCTCGCGAATGACGATCGATGATCACATAAGCGAGACTGACCTACCCTTAACGATACCAGCATAGGATATGTCCCGCAAGGGGATGTACGCATGCCCGACGTAATTCGCTCCTTCCCTTCAGGAACTGCACCGTGTAGGGATAATGCCTTACGAGTGACACAGCGACGAACAAATGCAGCTGGCGTGGACTCGCCATCCTTTCAGTGCTTTTTGCACGTAATCTGGAATCGTGGAGAAAGGAATTTATATATTTTACGCAGAAATGAGGGAAAATGTAAGTAAATATATTTAATATATAAAGCACACAAGAGATATATCAAATTCTCGATATCATCATGAGAGATGTTGCACAGTGAATACGGAAGCGTTCGAGTTATGGAAAATTCGAAGGGAGATTTTAATTGAGAAAGAGATTTTTTAATGAGATTTTTTAAAGAGAGATTTTTTAATATTTCCTCACAAATATATTATATTCCCAGATTATAAGTTAAAGATTCCTTATGAAAAATTTAAAATAGGCTTAAATTGATTGAAATAAATTGATTAATGGGAATCGACAGAAATTTGTAAAAATTAAATTCTCACTTTTAAAATAAGGGATATTCAATTTTTTTGTATAAATGATTGTAAACGTAATTAATTTTTTTTCGCAGGATAAGATTGCATTGTGTTTCTTATTGATACTTGCCCTTTGTACAAGAGTATATTCGGCAAACGCCAGGCACATAATTACCAAAAGAAATTATAGCGATCAAAGTGTAAGAGGCTATCTGGCAGAGGTAAGACGATTATAAGAAAAAGAATTTTACAATTTAATATATCATGACAAAATTATATCTTGACAATTTAATATATAATTAAATATATCATGACAATATTTAACTCTTGTAACTCTATGTATAATTTTATTAATTTTATTGTGAGAGACATGTAAATATATGATGTAATATTTTTGTTATTAAATCAACAATTTTATATAATTTACAAATAATATTAATTAAAAGAAAGAAAATAAACTGATTAAAAGTTATTCTTATTAACTATCATATTAATTTAAGAAATTTTGTAATTTTTATTACTAATACAAGGTTTAGGTTTAAATTGAAAGAGATTAAATCTTTTTCTTATACATAACGAGCTCTGACGTTTCAGAGAACCTGTTGGTGGAACGAGGTGTGCAAGGAAGAATTTCATAGTAAGTTCCGATGCCGTTGTCCGAGATGGTCCTATTGTCGCGCACCAGGGAGATATTACGACGCTCACTGCAGTATGACACGCACAGGCTACATATGGACCCAACCGGAAACATCATTAAGCCTTGAAATCGATAAGTAAATGAGACGCTACGAAAAGTCAATCCTGAAAAAAACAGGTGAACTAAAAATCTTTACAAAAATTTATTTTATAAACGTATAAACACAAAATTTTCTTATAATTAAAATTAAGATTTTTATGATTGTCAAATTGATTTTTATGATTTCCTTGTCTTCCTATATATTTCTCATTTCCACTAAAAATAATCCAAAAACAATTCAATTTATAATTACGTGTACTTTATTTACTTTTTAAAATTAATTTTAAAAATAAAATGAATAAAATGCAATTATTTTTTCATCAGAACATTATGTGTTCAATGTTATACTAATAAAATCTCATTAATTTTTGTATCGGCAGTCTTTTGCTTTTATTTATATTAGAGATTGCGCGGTTATGAATAACTTGATAACAAATAATTAAATCTTCACAATTTTTTAATTCTCTTTTTAATTATTGTTTCTATTATTTTTTTTTAAATTAAATGTTTAATATTTAATTATGTGGAAATAGGAAAAGAGATATCGAAATATTTTTAAATCCATCTTTTATTTCTAATTAATTAATTTAATCAGTGAATTTTATATAAGTAAATTACCTTCAATTAATATTAACTTCATTAATCATTGCAGGTGTGGCAATAACAAAAGAAATCAAATTTCTCTCGTTTAAAATCAAAATCAGCGATTGTTAAAGTTTCCGCAGATTGTTTAATCATCGGTTAAGATGTGATATGATTGTTGTAATTTTCTATTAGTAATTTTATTTATATAAGAGGAAAATGGAAACATTGAATAATGTTCAGAAAATAACGAAAAACTCGAGAACAATATAATTTACATTAGTACATCGATAAACACACGCTGCCAACAATTTATAATTATTGTGTTATATATGAACTCGTTGTGATTAATAAAGTTCATTATTAATAAAGTTTTTTGATGAAGTAATTTGTGGCTTTTCTTATTCATCATGTTGCAAATATATAATTCTCACAAATATAATATAAATTTATAATATAAATTTATATTATAAATTATATTATATATTATAATATAAATTTATATTATAAATTTAATATAAATATAATATAAATTTAATATAAATTTAATATAAATTTATAATATAAATTTATATTATAATAAACAAATATAATATAAATTTATTTCACGTTTTAATTTTTTTATATAGATTTATAGCTGTCATTCAACACGCCATTATTTAATAGCTAAAAATTTATAAATATGCATCTCTGAAAGTAAATATGTATTTATAAATATGTATCTCTAAAAATTTCAAATATGTGACAAATCTTTATCTTATCGTTGAAAAAATATCAAAATTGATTATTATTTATTTAATTTTTGCTCAGCGGATAGCATCGACGCATATGCGTGTCTGTATTAAAATATTGTCATATATATATATATATATATATATATATATATATATATATATATATATTACCATATTTATATTTATATTGCCATATATATTAATCAAGAGTTATTGATTACTCTGCGAACAGAGAAAAACTCTGACGTCAATGGTTTCCAGGATACGTTATCTAATGTTCCTTTCCACTTCCCCGGGGACAGTGACCAGGACACCTGCGCGCAACTATCGATTGACGCCCACCTGTCTGATTGTACCGGCAAGTCCTTTTCAAATTCTGGAGTAGATACAGTCTATTTCGAACGATATTAAAGGTTGTGTTTCGTCAGTTACTAGCTGGTATGTAAAATCTTTCTCTTCTGTTTTATCTTTCTTTTCTATCTTATCAATGAAATTAAAACTATGTTCGTGCTCGAATCATATTATCGGAAGAAAATACGATTATTAAAGCGTTACTATTCACTGGCGAGTGCGTCACGTTATCCCGTTTATCCAGAAATCCAAGAATCTCAATTATTTTCCCTCCTCTTTAATATGTCATTGTACATCTTCAGATAAAATCCTATCATGTTACGCTTTATGTTATTAGTTTCTAATATTTTTTAATAATTGCTTTTACCTTAACAATTTTATATTGATTATGCATAGTAAAATAGTTATTCTGAGATTCAATATCATTGACATAATCATCATTGAATTCTCCGACATTCTTGTGTAGTTTAAACGTAAGGAATTTAAGGAATTTCTTGTCATTTATTCATATTATATCGAGCGATTAATTGATTTTCTCTGATTGTACTTGTTGCTTTCAAAGCTATATTTTAAAATTACGATAATGTAAATTCAATGACGAGCGCCTGCGCGTGTTATCGATTTAACTTCCCGGCCTGGACCTCATCAGCTGCGAAGCTTATGAGAGAGAAAAATAACAAGATGGCGAGTGAACACAATCAGTTGTCCCGATTTCTCTTGGTGCTTGCGATAGTATTATTTAGATACGTTACATCCGATATCAACGATGGAAATTTCGCGGGAAATAATTTCAACAGACTTGACACCGAAGCTCTTTATCATCTTTCTCAGGTATGCATACATAGATAATATAAATATATATATATATATATATATATATATATATATATATATAATTAAAATATTATCTCAGTAAATTTTTATTATGATATATTTTAAATAATGTTCACATGGATAAATAAAATTATAAGATTAATATAAACGACGTATGTTCCATCTTTATTTTATAATTTAAATCAAACGAAAATATTTAAATAAATATGTTTTTTAAAAATATTACGTTCTTTTTAAATTGCAATTATTTTTATAAAAATAATTATACATGAATTATTAAATTTACATATTATTTAATTTAATTATAACGCGCATTTAATTTATTTTATTTAAAAGATTTATTGATCGTAAATGTTTTTTGTTATAATATATATTATATCTCTACATTAATCTCTTTTATAAAAAACCTGATAATGTTTGAATTATGATTGATTTGTAATGACATAATAATTCCATCATATCAGAATCATAAATTATTTTCACTATCAGGATCAATTTCCGGAAACTTACAATTATGCACCACTACATCCTGTTGAAAATCATTTGTGGCAAAGTCCCGAAAATCTTGGCGAGATTTCTGGAGTCGCGGTGGATCCATCGGGTAATCCTGTGATTTTTCATCGCGGAGATCGAACTTGGAATTATGAGTAAGAATCATAGAATAAATTAACAAATGATAATCAAAATCGTAACAATAAAAATAGCAAAAAAGAATTATGCTTTAAATTTTAAAACATTAAGAAATAAAACAACGATTATTAGTTTTTAAAACACATTTATGTCGTGCAATATTCTTTTATATAACAAGAAGCAATTCTTTTTATAGAAAGAATTATCTACTCTTTTTAATTTTTAATATGTGATACAAAATAATTATTTATAGTTTCTTTATAATTTTGAAAAGTATATAAAATATTCTGGTGTTCTTATTATAGTGTATTAATGTGAATTTTCAGAACATTTAACGATAATGCAGAATATCAAGAAAAGTATAAAGGTCCCATTCGTAATGATACAGTGTTAACATTGGACCCTAAAACTGGCGATATTATTCGCGGTTGGGGAAATCATACATTTTATTTACCGCATGGGATTCACATCGATAATCTTGGAAACATATGGCTGACTGATATTGCCCTCCATCAAGTATTCAAGGTATATAGAGAAATTTATAGCAGAGCCCATTTTTAAGATACAGTCTTAATAATTGTTACAATAACAAATAAAAATGTAATATAAATCACAAATAAAACAATGTATTATAATTATAAGGTGGAAAGTAAGGAAAAAAAGAAATATATATATATATTAATAAAACATATAATATAAGGAAAAAAAATGTTTTAATTAAATATGTTATAAATATAATTATGCATAAGTTATATTATAATCGGTCTTTTTGTTAATTGTTATTATAAAAAATATTGTTGACTGATTATATTCGTCATAAATTATAGTATTCGGCTTCCGGAATTCCTCGACTGATCCTCGGTCAACGATTCGAGCCTGGAAATGATATGGAACATTTCTGCCAGCCAACATCGGTCGCAGTTTTACCGAATGGCGAGATTGTTGTCGCTGATGGATATTGCAATAATAGGATAATGTTGTTTGACAAAAGAGGCAATCCCAAATACAGTATTGGCGAACGTACGTTTAATATTAATTTAAAATTAATTAACGTTTAAACTTAATATTAGAATCTATCTTAAATTTTTATTTATACTGATTTTTAAAAGTAAAATTTCACGATCACAATTGATGATAATTGCAAGTAACATTAATACTACATAAGATAAATATATAACTGTGGTAAAGCGCGCAAGTGTTCACGAGTAGAAATCAGTGTTCTTTGATTTTAGTTTTTTATAAATTTAATATCTTTTTTATAAATATTATAATATAATTAGAATAAATAATAATTTTCTTTATCTTTTGCTTGTAAAAATATATATATATATATATATATATATATATGTATGTATTATTAATAAATTTTGCATACACTTTTATAGATTGGATTTCTTTAAGGATTCCTCATGCTTTGACGATTTTGCCAAACAGACAAGTATGCATCGCTGATCGTGAAAATTTAAGGATTGTGTGCTTGGATGTCATATCTTCCGGTTTGAATCGAAATCCTGAATCTCCGTATTCCATTCGTCATCGACAATTTGGTCGCATATTCGGTGTCACGTCTTATCGTAAGTAACTCATAAAAAATGTAATTTATTGTACGATAATTATTGTAAATTAGAGCATTTAATTCTATCTTAAAATTGTATATCATGCATTTCAAATTTAATATTATCTAATATAAATCTAATAATATCTAATATAAATTTAATATATTAAATCTAATATATTGTCAATTCAAATCTGTTAGCAATATTATAATATGTTATATTCTGCGTCAACATATATTTTGACATTCTTTCTAGCACATTATTATTTACTAATTATATTAAAAAAATTTTTAACAGAGAAAGGCAAAAATAATAAATATAATTTTATTATTAATAATTTCAGGTGGTTTTATTTATGCTGTCAATGGTATGACGTCTAAAAACATACAAATTAAAGGCTTCACTATTGATCCAATAAATCGAAATGTAACAGAAATTTGGGGTCCAGAATCTTTAGTAAGTTGTTACATTTTATATTCGAGATACATGTAATAAAAAAAATTTTAAATATTCATTTTATTATAAATATTCTGACGGATTTCAAAATAGATTACTCTTTTTAAAAGAAACATATGTGTTAATAAGCATATTTGTTTCAGCCTTTTACGATGCCTCATGCCATTGCAGCATGCCCGTATGGCACAGCACTTTACGTATCAGAGATTGGGCCCAATAAAATATGGAAATTCGATTTATTACAAACTTAATGTAAAAATTAAACGAATATTACAAAATATAACGTCAAAATCTGTCATCTGTAATGTTATTATATATATTATTATCTGGAGTAAAAACAAAAATCAAATTCGCAAAAGCAGCAAAATTTAATTCATTTTTGCTCACACACACACCCACACCCACACTCACACATTATTTTTTTATACATAATACAAGCAGATGTTATAAATATATATTATGTTAATATAATTTTTTTCAATAAAGGAAATTCTTTTTTTATTCAAATACAGATTTCTCTTCCATAAGGTTTTTAATTATGATTATTATAATTAAGAATTCCTATTATATTAAAAAAAACAATTGTCACTATCTTATTTGCATTAATACAATTTATATGATATTTATATATTTTGCTTATGCACATATTATATGGTACGTGTAACATAAGTAATACTTGCATAAGTAATACTTTCATGCGACAAATGTAAAATAAATATGCCGATGATGATATAATTGAAATATATAATACAACAGTATTCATATCTCAGACATTATTTAATGCAATTCTATCATATAATTTTGACATTTTGAAAATAAATTGCGCTATCATTATTTATTATGTTATAGATTGCGTAAAATTTCATTTTACTAAATCTAATCTCTTTTTATTATCTTTTCATACAAAGAGAAAATTTGAGTTTATAAAATTAAAGCTAAAGTAAAAAAAATAAAATATTTTTTTTCTTTCTATCTCTGCGCATTATATAAGTCTATAATAATAATAATGTAAGATATTTTTTATATCATCATATATTATTAATATAAACAAATATTTTGTATTGTCATCTTTCTATTCAATATAGTACATATATTTATTATAATCATATTAAATTATGACATTATAAGTGAGAAAGCATAAGAACTATTTTTTTACAAAATACATAAAAATAAATTTTTCATATGCTAGTTGATAGTACAAATTAACAAAATATACAATCAAATTCTCTTTTTTGTTACACGGAATTAGTAAATGCATATATATATATATATATATATATATATATATATATATAAAACTATATATAAGTTTTATATATATATATATATATATATATATATATATAAAAGTTACTTGTATTTTTACATTTTCAAAAGAAGATGAATGATTAAAATATATAGCTATTTATTAATCCATAAAAAGAAGAAAGAGATTTTGGTATATCTTACTGTTATGTCACTTGAATATAAATATCTCTTAATTAATCTGTGCATTGAATGTGAATAAAGTTGCATCCAAAAATTTAATCATTTTTTAACATATATCGTAATAATAAAAATATAATAAAAAAAATATAATATAATAAATAGTGACAATAAAAATAGTAACATACTTTGTTCATAATTTCATAATTTAATATGATATCGATAAGGGATAAAAAGTCTTAAGTAAAAAAAATCTAAAACTATGTAATACTATAATAATAATAACTTGTGTGTTCTCTTATAATAGTATACTACTGTATATCTACATTTATACTATTATATAACAAGCTGTAATAATTTTGCTACGCTTCACATTTAGAGCGTGCACTATTTGTTATTATTTGTTTATTTATATAATTGATTATTTTAATATAAATCATTAATTCTCACTCCACTACAATTCACGCTAGTCTTTGTAACAGCAAAACCCACGAGCATTAGATGTGCCGAGAGCCTCATGATATTCTCTTCTGCTACATCTGGCGATAATAAGATATACACATACTTTCCACCAAAACTTGTAAGTTTTCCCGCAAAACCGTATTCTCTCGCAATTGCGCAAATAATATCAATATTTGGATGCGACAATCCCAAATCATGAAAAATTTTTTGACTTAGTGAAATAAAGATCTGCAAAGCATTAGAAAATCTAAATTAAGAAATGACACAATTACCGATGATAATAATAAAAGATAATAAAATAATAATAAAATAATAATAAAAGATAATAAAAGATTTGAAATTGTTGTAATAGTATAGCTATTCAAAATACGTAACAAAGCAATGTCAAAAATAGAAAAAAAAAGAAAAACTTACTTTCAATGTTTTGTACGTATTTTGTAAATGATTTCCTTGAAGAAAATTAAGTGCATTAAGCTCTCTACAAGCCTGCTTTGATATATAATCGATAACGTTCAAAATGATGTTCAAATACATAGGATAAAAAAATTTTAGCTCCGCCATCCTCTTCATTTGTTTGAGTTTATTTTGGCGAATTCTTGAGTCGATCAGCAGAATCTTCATTCTCGGTGCGATTATATTACAAGTTTCATTATAGCCTGTCCGAATGTCGTATCGAAATTTTATTATTCCGCCATATGAGCACACATCGTTGTCAATATTGGCTACATAATTTTCTATAACTTCCTCGCACTCCAAAACATATCCCGAGATATCTTCTAAATCTCCATCATAAAATGCCTCGATACCTTTCTGCAGACGTGCCCAGTATAAAAAGCTCGCTGCGAGACATATCGCAAATGATGTTGAACTGCCCAGACCAGCGCGCATAGGTAATTGCGAAGTCAAGCACACGTGGAAAGATTTTATATTTAGTCTCTCGGCACAAACAATAAGAATAAACAAGTAAAAAAATGTGTGTAAACTAAATCTTTGCTCGTATGTATTCCCCATACCGTTTAATGTGATAAAATATTGCACGTATCTATGTAACAAGATATTTTCTTTCAAGAAATGATCAGCGTTATCAATATTATTAAAAAAAAAGTTTAGGACTTGTTCTAGAGATAAATTCAACCATAAATCAATATCAGGAAAATCGATCTTAATAATATATCTTCTATTATCAGTTATTTCGCAAAATTTGAGCGTGGTTCGAAGATCTATACTGGTCGCTACAACACGTTTACCATACATTGCCAAAGGTTCTCCGTATAAGATGATTCTGCCTGGTGCAGAAACTTTGAATTTAATCCTTTTCAATTTTGTATCGTCGTCCATTTATACTTACAAATAAAAATCTCTACTGTCTAAAAAGATCAATAAGTATTAAATAATAAGTCGTAAGAAATAAATCTGAGTATTACAGTTCTTTTATAGAGATTTATCAAAATTAATATTTATGTAACATGAAGAAAATCATCGAGATTGTAGATCATAGGTATTTCACTCATTCTACGTTTTATATAAATTATAAATGCATCGGTTATGTGTGACAAAAATGATTTCTTCTATTGAATTTTTATTCCGTACACAAAAAATACACTTACAATTTAATCAGATTTTCGTTCTTTATTGTTGTTTACCATTGTGTTGTTAACAGAAATTATAAATTGCTTCTATTTTTAATGCTTCACTTACAAAATAAGTCTGTATAATACATTATAATTTTAACTATTAAGATTGTATTATTATTTATGAGCGACGAAAAAAGAATTATGAAAATTATTCGAGAACATTCGTTTCCGCACAAAATACTGTTAATATTTCGTATTATATTATACAATCTCACGACTTGATACTCTATATACTAAATTCGTTTCGTAAATAACAATAATAGCGCTACAAAATAAACTTAAGTATCGCGCGATTACAATGTCAAAACTTTTTAACATTTCAATAATAAGTTATTAAAACCGCGCGAAATTTACATATTACAAGCATTATAAGATATATATTATATATTATAATAATGTTATTATATGTTACAATAATATTATAGATTATAAATTATGATAATATTAATATTATATGTTATAAAAATCATTTTTAAAGATATGTTACACGACATATGACAAACAAATTATCATTATTTATTTGCATTAATTGTATGTGATATTTATATATCGACGCTTTACAGTAAATGTACAAATGCATATATATATATATATATATATATATATATATATGTATATATATATATATATATATATATACATATATGTATGTATATATATACACAATATATTTCCAATGAACATATTTTATGTAGCAGATATAAAAAACAATAAAAAACGAAATTTGAAAAAGAAATTTGATATAGATCATTTTTTAATTAATGTCTGAAATAAAAACACAATACACGCATATCGACTTATATCGTTTAATATAATTCAATCAAAATAAAATTATAATGTAAGAAGTAAGCAAAATTTTCCTTGTTTTTTTATGGATAAAGCTTAATTCGGTTAGTAATAATAAATACAGTATATCATGTAATTCCGACTGAAAAGTCAATTTCGGAGTAAAATAGCGATATTTGTTCTTTAATAACTTTTTCCATGAATAGATAAAAATTTTAACTTATAAAGCTAAAGATAAAATGAAAACATAAAATAAATATTTTTTTTCTCTTTTGCCATTTTTGCGGATTGCACAAATATCAATAGTAAATTAAAAAGATAATAATATTTCCACTGGCCACATTATCAAATTAATGCAGAAAAATATTTCATTGTCATTTTTCCATTCAATTAACGCGATATTATTCGCACTTTAATATTCTTCTGTTAAGATTCCTGTTTCTTTCTCGCAATCATAAATAAAAAATGATAAAAAAATATTATTAATATTAAAAATATTAATATTAAAAATATGATTAAGCGAAAAAACATTAATATTTATTTCTTACAAAATATATTAACATAATATATATATTTAAATTAATAATAATAATAAAAATAATTAATATTTATTTAAATAAATATATTAAAGCAATATATTTATAAATAAATATATTTATAAATATATATAAATATATATAAATTTATAAATTTATATATATTTATATATATATAAATTTAATATATATAAATATTTATAAAAATATATATAAATATATTTATAAATATAATAAATTCGTCTTTCGAACGTCATTACTCGTGTCCGATCATATGGTTTGGAAAAATATATTGAAGAATTTCTTTTTTACCTTGCACAAATAAATGTATAATAATGAAGTTGTATTGGCGTGAGAAAAAAATCAATTTATTTTCGATAAACGAATTTTGCAATAAATATATCACCCAAAGTGACATCGCTTATAATTTTATAAAATTGAATACGATATCACATCGAAAGAACAGAAATTTTAATATAGAATACATTATATAAAACTGAATATTGTTTGTTCATTTTTTCTTACTTATAATGCCGTAATTCAAATTGATAATTATTTTATTTCTTACATTTATATGTACATATATATATATATATATATATATATATATATATATATATATATAGCATTACTTGTTATTATATACAATTTTCGAATGTAATATTTTATGCAAATATTATATCCGAAGAAAATATACTTTGACTCAAATTATTTTATAATTGAAATAAAATAGTACTCGTACAATGAATTACATCATTTAATAGAATACGATTATGTAATTTTGATGTAGACGATAAGCAGCGCTACCCTTGTTATTTTTAGATTACATTGCGTAAAGCTTAATTCGATTAATAATAAGTAAAATGCATCATCTCGATTAAATCTCGAAAGTAAAAATCCAGAAAAGGATAATTTGTCTATTAATTTTTATACATGCATACCTACATATCTACAAAATTTCAGTTTATAAATTTTTTCCAGTCTATAAAATAGAAAAGTAAAATGAACGTTTTTTTCTCTTTTACTATTAGCAACGCCTACATCTGGAATAGTAATTCAAAAGTTTCAATATATACGTTTACTATATTTTATTTGTTCAGCTGATACGCACTTTGTTATTTCTGAAAAATTTTTATTCCTTCACTGCATATATCGATTGATAACGTTATACACAAGAAAGCATAAATGTTTTTCACATAAAAATATCAGTACAAGATGGCTTTCGTATATGTTCTACTATTTGCGTTTGTTAAAATGTATCAAAAAAATCATCTTTCTTGTTTATCTTGCAGTTGATGCACATCTTTACTTTTTACGTTTAAATGTGGACTATATAATCAATTAAAATATATACAGCTATTTATTAATAAAATGAAAAGAGTCACTATAAAAATGAAATCTATGAAACGAAAAGTCATTAGTCTTCTAATCAATCTACATTATCAAAAACCCAAATGAAATGATATATAAAAAATTAATTGTTTTAACAAAGTTTACAATCAAAATATTTATAGTAACTCTTCGCTTATGACTTCATAATTCAATATAATTGATTTAATTTAATATGATATCATTGAAAGAAGAGAAATTAAGAAACAAAAAAAATATATAAAATTGTGTATTGTTTCTCTTTTCTCGAGTATAAAAAATAAAACTATAATATTATAAAATTCGCAATTTTACTACATTGTTTTCGCTTAGTTTAATGAATCATATTATTTAATTATTTATGTGCGATTTTGATGTACTCATTCAAGTCGCACTCCCGTGCAAGATATTGTAGTAATTTGGGAATTAAAATTGCTTTCATTCAAGTTCTTCATAAGTTTAGAAATTTTCCTTTTGTAAGATATTAAATGATAAGAATTCGGCAGTAATGGAATTATTGCTTTACTAGCTCCAACTCCTGTGGATTTCCCTCCGAATCCACAATTTTGTGCAATTGAATTAATAGTATTGAAATTTGAATGCGACAAATTCAAGCCACTTAGCGCCATTTGATTCCAAGAAAGATTAGCCTGCAAAGCATTAAGAAATTTAAATAAAAAAGCAACATAATTTTGATTTATGAATAATGATGCATTCGAGATTATTATAAATGCAAAAATAACTATATAAAACTATACAATTAAATAATTCGCAAAGAAACGAAACAAGACTTACCTGTAGATCTTGATATGATCCTTTTAATCCGTGTATCCGTAAATCCGTGTTTATTCTCAAATCCCTGATTAAATATAGTGTTGAAATCATATTTTGCGATCTGTTTTTGATCTCACTTAAATGGTCATTCAAGGCTTTGTCATTTCTATTTTTCATGTCGGTCAGTTGTTGCATCTGTTGATTCTTATCTAGGCAAATGTTTGCATCAACCAGGAGAATATTTATTTCTGGCGTATTTATGATTTCACGCTGAACGTTTAGCTGATCTCTATATTGAAATGCTGTTACATGACCATATGTGCATATGATATGATCCTGCTTGTACTGCCATAATATTTTCTCATAAGACATTACGTATCCCGAAATTCGTTCCAATTTTTCCGGTGTAAATCCACTGTGGTCACCTCTCTCTAGATACGACCAATGTAAAAAGCACGCCGCGAGACATGTCGCGAATGACGTCGAACTGCCAAGACCAGCGTTCATTGGTAAAACCGTGGTCAAGTGCACGTAAAAAGGTTGTATAGCGAGTTTCTCATTCTGGGCGATAACGTATAAGAGGAAAAAGAAAATTTCTAAGCTAAATTTCTGCTCAAATGTTGTCCATAATTGGTTAAAGCTATTAAAATATCGCACGTATCTAAGGAAGGAGGAATACTCATCGATTATCAAATTAAAAGTTTCGCCGTCGCTAATTAAGCTTGTAATCCTTTCTAAAGGTATGTTTAAAGATATATCGACTTTAGGCAATTCTATTTTAACGATTCTTTCTTCTAGAGGTAATTTATGGAACTTTAGCGTGGTACGAAGATTTAAGCTGGCCGCCACAACTTGATTTCCAAAACTCACCACATGATCTCCGCATAAGAAAACCCTACCCGGTGCCGAAATTTGAAATGAAGTCATACTTTCTGTGTATCAAAATCTCTACTTCGTCAAAAGATCGATGCAGTGTTCGTTATAAAATTTTAAATCCGTAACTTTTAGAAATAAATATTAAAAAAAGTACTTTTATGTATACAATTTGATGTGAAAAGAGGTCATCGAGAAAATATTTGTTGATTTTATATAAGTTGAAGGTGCCTCAGATATATATAACAAAATAACGTGTCACTAATACATTATCGAATTATATCGATATAAAACAAAAAAAGTTTATTTAGATTCAATTGAATTCTAATTCTTTCCAATTGTTTTTATTCTCTGCGAACTAAAATCTTCTGAATCTTCTGTTACAATTCGTCTTCACTACTTCTATCGAGATTGCACACAAGTTTGAGGGAATACAATATATTTACTATTAAACTATTAAAATTATTTATATAATAGAAAAAGAGGAGCCACTAATATTAAACATTTGAGACGTTACCGCTAGGTTTTGTTATACAAGTCGCGTTTCGATCATGACTGATTTTGTTTCATGAAATTCTCAAGCAATAACAACTCCGAATATGCGAACCAAAATATTGACTTCATGGTAGAAGTTTTTCAAGGAAGATCATATTAAATGTATTTACATTTTTTAACTTTTTAAATTGACATCATATATTATTGGCAATGAATATTGCAATAAATGTACACATTTTCCTTGTTATTTTATGGATAATGTTTAATTCGGTTAGTAATAATAAGTACAGTGTATCATGTAATTCTGACTATCAATTTCGAAGTCAATTTCGGAGTAAAAGAGCGATACTTGTTCTATAATAACTTTTTTCGAATAGACAAAATTTTAACTTATAAAGCTAAAGATAAAATGAAAACATAAAATGAATATTTTTTTCTCTTTTGTCATTTCTGCGGATTGCACAAATATCAATAGTAAATTAAAAAGATAATAATATTTCCACTGGCCACATTATCAAATTAATGCAAAAAAATATTTCATTGTCATTTTTCCATTCAATTAACGCGATATTATTCGCGCTTTATTATTCTTCTGTTAAGATTCCTGTTTCTTTCTCGCAATCATAAATAAAAAATGATAAAAAAATATTATTAATATTAAAAATATTAATATTAAAAATATGATTAAGCGAAAAAGCATAAATATTTATTTCTTACAAAATATATTAACATAATATATATATTTAAATTAATAATAATAATAAAAATAATTAATATTTATTTAAATAAATATATTAAAGCAATATATTTATAAATAAATTGAAATAAATTCGTCTTTCGAACGTCATTACTCGTGTCCGATCATATAGTTTGGAAAAATATATTGAAGAATTTCTTTTTTACCTTGCACAAATAAATGTATAATAATAAAGTTGTATTGGCGTGAGAAAAAAATCAATTTATTTTCGATAAACGAATTTTGCAATAAATATATCGCCCAAAGTGACATCGCTTATAATTTTATAAAATTGAATACAATATCACATCGGAAGAACAGAAATTTTAACATAGAATACATTATATAAAACTGAATATTGTTTGTTCATTTTTTCTTACTTATAATGCCGTAATTCAAATTGATAATTATTTTATTTCTTACATTTATATGTACATATATATATATATATATATATATATATATATATATATATATATAGCATTACTTGTTATTATATACAATTTTCGAATGTAATATTTTATGCAAATATTACATCCGAAGAAAATATACTTTGACTCAAATTATTTTATAATTGAAATAAAATAGTACTCGTACAATGAATTACATCATTTAATAGAAAAGATTATGTAATTTTGGTGCAGACGATAAGCAGCGTTGCTCTTGTTATTTTTTGCATTACGTAAAGCTTAATTCGATTAATAATAAATAAAATGGATCATCTCGATTAAATCTCGAAAGTAAAAATCCAGAAAAGGATAATGATGCTTTGTCTATTAATTCTTATACATGCATATATACAAAATTTCAGTCTGTAAATTTTTTCCAGTCTATAAAATAAAAAAATAAAATGAATATTTTTTTTTTCTATACTATTAGTAACGCATACATCTGGAATAGTAATTTAAAAGTTTGAATATGTACACGTTTACTATACTTTATTTTTCAGCTGATACGCATTTTGTTATTTTTGAAAAATTTTTATTCCTTCACTGTATTTAATTATTTATGTGCAATTTTAATGAACCTGGTCAAGACGCACTCCCGTGCAGGATACTGTAGTAGTGGACACAGAAAAACCATTCCATAACAAATCTGATACAAGATTAAATGCTCTATTATTGTATTCTGTTGATTCTGGTAATAGAATTATTACATCACCAGTTCCATTTCCTGCGCATTTCCCTTTGAATCCATAATTTCCTGCAATGGAACAAATAGAATCGATATTCGGATGCGACAAATCCAACTCACGTAGGCTATTTTGATTCGAGAAAAGTTTATCCTGCAAAGCATTAAGAAATTTAAATAAAAACAACATAATTTCCATTTAGGAATAATGATGTATTCGAGATTATTATAAATGCAAAAACAACTGCATCAAACTATACAATGAAATAATTCGCAAAGAAATGAAAGAAGACTTACCTGTATATTTTTATATAAGCTTTCTAATAATTGTAAATTCCTGTTTGTTCTCTGATGGTTCTCTCTGATTTTATGGAGTATTTGAACAACCTCTTCCGATATATTATTGATCTTGTCTAAAAGGTCATCAACGGCGATGCGATCTCTATTTGCCTTGACGGCCAATTGTAGCATCTGTTGTTTCTTATCTAAGCAAATTTTTGCATCAGCCAGGAAAATATACATTTCTGGCGTATTTATGATTTCACTCTGGACATTTAGCGGTCCTTTTATACATTTATATGCTGTTACACGACCGTATGTGCATATCATGTGATCCTGATTGAACTCATAAGTCTCTGTATATTCTTCCTCAGAGGACATCACATATTCCGAAATTCGTTTCAATTCTTCCGGAGTAAATCCATTGTGGTCATCTTTCTGTAGACACGACCAATGTAAAAAGCACGCGGCGAGACATGTCGCGAACGACGTCGAACTGCCAAGACCAGCGTTCATCTTTAATTTCGTGGTCAAGTGTACGTGAAAAGGTTGTATATCGAGTTCTTCCTTCCGAGCGATAACCAATAGGAGAAAAAAGAAAATTTGTAAGCTAACTCTCTGCTCATTTGTCCTCCATAATCCGTTGAAAGTGATAAAATTTCGCACGCATCCAAGGAATATATAGGGATAATCATTGATCATAGAACTATAATTTTTGCAGAGAGTAAAATTTACAATCATTTGTAAAGGTATGTCTAACGATATATCGACATCAGGGAAATCTATCTTAATGATTCCTAACTGTAGAGGTAGTTGGCGGAATTTGAGCGTGGTACGAAGACCTAAACTGGCCGCCACAACTTGTTTTCCATGCATCACCGTATGCTCTCCGCATAAGAAAACTCTACCCGGTGCCGAAATTTGGAATGTAGTCATATTTTCTGCGTACCAAAATCTCTTCTCCGTCAAAAAATCGATGTAGCGTTGATTATAAAATTTTAAATCAAGTCCGCAACTTTTAGAGGTAGATATTAGAAAATGTATTTTTATGTATACAATTTAATGTGAAAAGAGGTCATCGAAGACTGAGAGGTGTCATGGCCCGCTTTTAGATGATCCCTGAAAGCGATACGCCCTCTGTTAATCTAAAAAACGTGGACATGAACTACAAAGCCATGTCCACGAAAGTTCTCAGAGGGTAACATATTATGTGCACAATTTCTGGTTCTGTTCCGTGCTATGTGCACAAAATGACGGTAGCACCAGTGCTGTATAGCAAGGTGCTTACGTATATCAAATAAATTTTAATATAAGTGAGAAATGATGAATTTGAATATATATATATATATATATATATATATATATTTAATATATATATAATATATATATATATATATATATATATATATATATATATATATATATATATATATTCAAATATATATATATATATATATATATATTCAAATATATATATATATATATATATATATATAGAGAGAGAGAGAGAGAGAGAGAGAAATAATAAAATTTATTTATCATAGAAATATATTTAATATAAACACCTTACAGAATTCGTGTTACGGATATTTCGTGCACATAGCACGGAATATATATATATATATATATATATATATATATATATATATATATATATATATATAGTGTACGCGGGAGTTATGTGAGCAAGTGAGAAGATAATAAGAGGGAGCGAAATGGCAGTAAGAGCGAGCGAGATAGGAATAGAACGAGCAATGAAGACTCGAAAATCGAGTCTTTCTTGCAGCCTTGGCGTACTATTTCTCTCTCGCTCGCTCCTATTACTCTCTCGCTTGCTCCTATTACTATCTCGCTCGCTTCTGTTATTATTTCATCTGTTATTATTTCTTACGTACTCATATACTGTCATGTTCATCTCGTTATCAAGTCTGCCGCTGGCAAGCGGCCGATGACAAACTAATGAAAATTTTGCGATTAAAATAACATCAAACACGGTATCAATCGGACAAATATAGTTAAATATATATAATCAAACTTTTTATTATCAGACTAATTAAAAATTATCCGATTTACGTCGTGTTTGATATCATTTTAATCACAAAAATCTCAATAATTCATTAAAATTACTTTCATATCGATAAAATAAAAAATAAAAGTTTCAGTTTTTATTTTATAATCTCGTAAATTGCGAATGGATAGAGAAAGTGAAGAAGCCGATTGTAAGAGACTTCGGAATTCTTTGATGATAGGTCATCTCGCTCGCTCTCGACTCGCTGTCGCTCTCGCACTTGATAGGTCGTAAAGATAAGCGGACTCGGCTTCCTCGCGAATATAAACATCTTATAAAATAAAAACTGAAACTCTTATTTTTTATTTTATCCATTTGAAAATAATTTTAATGAATTATTGAGATTCTTGCGATTAAAATGATATCAAACACGATGTAAATCGGATAATTTTTAATTGGTCTGATAATAAAAATTTTGATTTTATATATTTAACTACATTTATCCAATTGATACCGTGTTTGATGTTATTTTAATCGCAAAATTTTTATTAAAATTTTTATTAAATCGCTTTCAGGGATCACCTAAAAGCGGGCCATGACACCTCTCAGTCTTCTCTCTGGTAACATCAGCTATATATGACGAAAGTAACGTATCACTAATATTATATCACTATTATATCACTAATATAATATCGAATTATATCGATACAAAAGAAATCCACTTAGATCCAATCAGACTCTATAAATCTTCCCAATTGTTTTTATTCTCTGCGAAGTAAAATCCTCCAAATCCTTTGTTACAATTCTTCTCTTCTTCTATCAAAATTGTACACACAAGTTTGACAATACAATATATTTACTATTAAATTATTAAAATTATTTATATCAGAAAAAGAGGAGCCACTAATATTAAAAATTATTTGAGACGATACCGCTAGGTTTTCATGTACAAGCCACGATTATAACTGATTTTGCTTCATGAAATTCTCAAGCAATAACAGCGCTCCGAATATGCGAATCAAAATATTGACTATAAGGTCGAAGTTTTTAAAGAAGAATTAAACTAAATGTATTTACTTTTTTTACATAATTTAACATCATATATTATTTGCATGTTAAAATCAAACAAATTGTCACATATTTTATAAATTACATTGATGCAATTTACCTACTTTTTTATTACTACTTTTTTATTGTCGCAGTTTTATACACAATATATATGTATATAAAAAAATATGCTTTGACGTTGATTATTACATAGTTAAGATGTATTATAGAAGGTAGTATTAGTTATTTTGAATTATATTGTTTATCTGTTTAATAAAATGGCATTGTGTAAATCGATTAAGTAAAATGCATCAACTCTGGTTCGAAAGTCAAAATCCGAAGCAAAATGATGATACTTTTTGTTACTAACTTTACTTACAAATAGATGAAATTTTAAACTATAAAATAAATAAAGACAAAATATAAAATTTTTTTTTAGCTTTATCTGTACGCAATACAAAATACTAGTCTATATATAATTGTAATTTACGTAATAATATATAAGTACCTATATTATGTGTAATACACATCACAATGTATCACGTGATAATATAAATATTTTTCATATTATTATGACGTATTAATAACAATATTTTTTGCCATCTTTTGTGATAATTCGACAAACATACATTTTGTTACTCTTACTACTATTAAATTCCTACTTTTTATTACAGCCATATTTAATGGTGATAATGCTAAGGACAAAAAAGTATATTTTATTTGTGCCATTCGCATCATCTGCTCGTATGTTTTCCGACGAATTCTCGAGTCAATCGATAAAATTTTAATTCTCTGCATTCTTTTTTATTATTACGAATTAATAATAAATGCATGTATAATTAATCTACATGTCTAAAATTAAATCATATATAATAATTGATTAGATAGATATCCAAGGCATTTCATAATTTGCTTTCACAAATTACATAACATTGTTAGTTGTTAAAAAATAGAAAATGAGTCGAAAAACCTTAAACTACACAGCAGAGAGAACATAGTCACGCGCATTATTAATCGTACAGCTATGGACATATATCCGCCTAATAAACAATAACAAGTGAATTTTATTTCATGAATTCTATTTTACTAATTCTTTACTAATCATTACAAATAAAATAATTTAGTACTAATCGACCCACTTTTTATTCAGTAATAGCATTATGTAATTTATAAACTTGAATTATGAATCCTATGTATATCTATTAATTTGCGAATTGAAAAAGACTGCAGTATGTTTTATTGCCTCGCAGTTATTATCTTGGCAACATCTTTGTTCAATTCGCAATTTCGAAATAACGGGATAACATACGAAAAAAGAAACTAATATCGACATATTCGACATATTTTAAAATATTCAATTAGTCCTTATTTTGAACTTCGTAACCTAATACGGTGTCAATCACAAACAATAAACTGTAAATAAAAGACTATATTAAACAAAAGTGCATGTTGTTCTTCATTTGAAACACTACAGTAGTAATGATTCGAGTTAATAATTGTGTCACAATTTTGTTTACATTTATTGTTAGCTATTGTTATTATTTATTTATTTATATGATTATAATCAATAAATTTAATATTAGTCCTCAATTCTTACTCCGTCACAACTTATACTAGTTACTGTAACAGGAAAATTATGTGACTCTATGTGTGCGGAAATATTATCAATTTCTCCTTCTGAAATACCCGGTCGTAACAAGATATATGCAAATTTCTTTTCACCAATACCTGTAAGTTTTCCTACGGAACGATAACCATGAACATATGCAATATAGAAAATATGATTCAACTTGTCATTCGACAAATTTAACTTATAAAGCATATGTTGATTTGATTGAACGTAATCCTATAAAGTGTTAAAAAATATAAATTAAAAAGCAATATTGCATTTGTATCGGATAATTATATATTTGCAAATCTTTTAGATGATATTACACAAAAACATTATATAACGAAGTAATATGATTGCTTGTAAAGAAGTGAAAAAAATATACCTGTAATATATCGAACCGATCATTTAATTCTAACATTGCTATAATATTTCTTGATACTTCATCTATTACATCCAAACAGCGATTGGTAAACTCGGGATAAAGACATTTTAGTCGTGCCACATGCTCTATTTGATCGTACTTATTCTGACGAACAGTCGAATCAACCAAGAGAATCCTCATTGTTGGCATTGGGAAAGTGGATTTATTGTGATGAAGGTAGCCAAACAATTCATATATTATAGCTACGTTACCGCATAAACCTACAGAGGAATCCAACAGACACATAGAGCTCCGTGTACCTTTTCTGCAGTACATGGCAGATGCCCCAATCAGTCCTTTTTCTTCCATACTAAATTCATTATGGTCACCTCTCTGTAGACGCGACCAATGTAGAAAGCATGCCGCGAGACATAGTGCAAACGATGTCGAGCTGCCAAAACTAGCTTTCATTGGTATTTCCGTCGTCACATGTACGTAAAAAGATTTTATATTAAGTTGCTCTCGATGAACGATATAAAAAAGCGTGAAAAAAAACATTTGTAAACTAAATCTTTGCTCATACGTACTCCACATACCGTTTAAGGTAATAAAGTATTGCACATATTTAAACAAGCGGACTTTATTCATTCCAATAATAGCATAACTAGCGAGGAAATTGTCAACTAGTTCCAAAGGTAAATTCAATGATAAACCGACGTCAGGAAATTCTATCTTACAAATGCCTCTTAAATTATTAATTAATTCGGTGAATTGAAGCGTAGTACGACGACTTAAGGTGGTTATCACAACCTTTTTTCCATATATCGCTGCATACTCTCCACTTAAGATAATTCTACCCGGTGCGGAAATCTTAAATTCAATCATCCTTTTTGTGAATAAGAATATTTGCTTTTTCAAAAAAATGGAAGTTACAAACAGTATTGTTGAATAGTAGAGCGTAAAAAATAAATTTGCGTGCCTCTTATCAACATTTATTAAAACCATGCAAAATATATTTACTTAACATGTATTCATACGTGTTCATATGACGAAGATATGATATAATTGTCGCTCCTTATAACTCTGCACAAAAGCATAATGTCAGTTATATATTTATGTAACAAAAAGAAATTCGTCGTCAATATTTATTATCAAATTGATATACTTACAAAGGGAATATATTTAATCAGATTCTCGGTTTTTTGCCCTTCTTTTTATCAGCAGATTAATCGTAATTGATTTCTTCTTTCAAAATTTTACATATAAATCGGAATGATATGTTTTCATCTACTGAATCCTTAACATGGACCAAATAAAATTACTGATAATAAAGATTTGGAGCATTCGTCCTTGCACAATGTTTATATTTCTTGTTGTATAAGTTTCAATCGTTTTTGATTTTCCCTAAATATGAAAACAATGCCTCGAAATCATAATTCTAAATATGATCTTTAATGTCAAATGTTCTCAATATTTTTATAAGAAGTTATTAAAACAGATATGATTTATAAAAATATTACATTACTTTCAATGTCATAAACACATTGTCATTATCTCACTGCATTTAAAATAATATTTCATAGTCTCCCTTCAATGTCTCAAAAGATAATTCGAAATGGTTTTATTTATTTTTATTTCTATTGAGTAGAAACTTTAAATTCAATCTTTTCCAATTTTTTAGCTTCGTCCATTTTTTCTTACGAATAAAAATCTCTACTCTCCAAAAAGATCAATAAATATTAAATAATAAGTCATAAGAGATAAACCTGAGTACTGGAGTTCTTCTATTGATCTTTATCAGAATTATATAATAATATATATGTAACATGAAGAAAGTTACCGAGACTGTAGACAATATATATTTGTCGCTCCTTTTCCATTTTATATAAATTATAAATGCGTCAGCTATGTGTGACAAAAATAATTTCTTCAATGTCGAATTTGTATTCTATCCAAAAAATACATTTATAATTTAATTTAAGATTTAATTTAAGATTTCCGTCCTCTTCATTTTTACGTTGTTTTTTGTTGTTGACAGAAATCATAAATTGTCTTTGCTTCTATTTCTATACTTCACAAACAAAAAAAGTTTATATAATACATTTTAATTATAACTATTAAAATTTTATAACACATATGGACGAAGCCAAAAAAAAGATATGGAAATGATTTGGCAACATTCGTTTCCGCGTAAAACATTCTTTATATTTTGTGTCGTACAATTTCAATTATAAAATAATTTACGTCAAAGTATATTTTCCTTGTATTTGCATAATTCGCGTCTTGATCGTTATTGATTTTAATAACAATGGCAATGCTCTGACACTGTGAATCTAAACATCGATTACGATGTACGACGATTACGATTACGATGTTGAACGTTCTCTTTTTCTTTAATATACTTTAATAAGAAAATATTTACAAAACTTACACGTAATCTCGAAATTTGAAAATGATATATTATTTGTAATGTGTGAAAATTAAATAAATTGTCATTATTTTATTTGTACTAATGCAATTTATGTGATATTTACATATCTATTTACGTTTCGTAGTACATGTATAAATGTATTTACATTTTTCGGATGGAATATTTTATGCAAATACAAATAAAATATATTTTGATGCAAATTATTTTGTAATTGAAATAAAGTACTCATACATTGAATTATATCATTTATTAGAATACAAATTATTGCATTTATTTATTGCAGACGATAAACAGCATCGCCCTTGTTATTTTTAGGTTGCGTAAAGCTTAATTCGATTAATAATAAGTAAAATGTTTCATCTCGATTACATCTCAAGAATGAAAGTCCAGAAAAGGATAATGCTCTGTTCATTAATTTTTTTACATGCATATATACATATATATAAAATTTCAGTCCATAAAATTCCTCCAGTCTGTAAAATAAAAAAATAAAATGAACACTTTTTTCTCTTTTACTATCTATTAGCAACACATATATCTATAATAGTAATTTAAAAGTTAGAATTCCTTCATTGCATATATCGAATTATAACGTTATATGCGAAAAAGTGTACATGTTTCTTACAAAAAAATATTTGTATAAGTTAGCTTTCTTGTATGTCCTACTATTTGCGTTTGTTAAAATGTACTAAAAAAGTCATCTTTTTCTTTATCTTGCATCTTTTTTTATGCACAGCTTTTTTTTTACGTATTCAAAAGTAGACTATATAATAATAGACTATTTAATAATCAATCAAGATATACACAGCTATTTATTAATAAAATGATAAGAGTCACCATAAAAATGAAATCTATAAAATGAAATGTCATTAGTCTTCTAATCAATCTACATTATCGAAAATCCCCAAATGAAGTGGCATATAAAAAATTAATTATTTTCACAAAGTTTACAATAAAAATATTTACAGTAACTTCTCGCTTATAACTTCATAATTTATTATGATATCATTGAAAGAAGAGAAATTAAGGAACAAAAAAATATATAAAATTGTGTATTGTTTTTCCTTTCTCTTATAAAAAATATAACTATAATATTATAAAATTTGTAATTTCACTACATTGTTTTCGCTTAGTTATTAAGATTTAATTAATCATATTATTTAATTATTTATGTGCAATTTTAATGTACCTAGTCATTTTAATGTACCTGTATCAAGTCGCACTCCCGTGCAAGATATTGTAATAATTTCGCCAGAAAAACCTTTTTCCGCCAAGCACCTCGTTAGATTATTTACTTTACTGCGGTGTTCTTCTGATGCATGATAATTCGGCGGTAATAGAATTATTACCTTACTAGATCCATCTCCTGTAAGTTTCCCCTTGAATCCACAAGTTTTCGCAATTAAACAAATAGTATCAAAATTTGGATGCGACAAATCCAAATTCAATAGAAAATCTTGATTCAAGGAAAGGTTAGTCTGGAAAGCATTAAGAAATTTAAATAAAAAAACAACATAATTTCCATTTATAAATAATGATGTATGCGAGATTATTATAAATGCAAAAACAACTATATCAAACTATACAGTGAAATAATTCACAAAGAAATGAAACAAGTCTTACCTGTAGATTTTCATATAATCCTTCTAATAATTGTAAATCCATGTTTGTTCCCTGATCCCTGATTATACGGAGTATTGTAACAATCTCTTGCGATATGACATCAATCTTGTCTAAAAGGACATCGGCGGCGTTACCATACCTACATTTCATGTAGGCCAATTGTTTCATCCGTTGACTCTTATTTAGGCAAATTTTTGCATCAACCAGCATAATATACATTTCTGGCGTATTTATGATTTCACTCTGAGTGTTTAGCGGTTCTCTAAATTGAAACGTTGTTACACGACCGTGTGTGCATACCATGTGATCCTGATTGAACACATAATTCTGTATAACTTCCTCAGAGGACATCACGTATGTCGAAATTCGTATCAATTCTTCCGAAGTAAATTCACTGTGGTCACCTTTCTGTAGACACGACCAATGTAAAAAGCACGCGGCGAGACATGTCGCGAACGATGTTGAACTGCCAAGACCAGCACTGATTGTTAATTGCGTGGTCAAACGCACGTGAAAAGATTTTATAACGAGTTCCTCATTCTTGGCGATAACCAATAGGAGGAAAAAGAAAGTTTGTAAGCTAAATCTCTGCTCATATGTGCTCCATAAACCGTTTAAAGTGATAAAATATTGCACGTGTCTAAGAAAGATGATGTCATCATCAAGCACCAAATAATAATTCTCGTTGGAAATAAAGTTTGTAATCATTTGTAAAGGTATGTCTAACCGGTTTATACCGACATCAGGGAAGTCTATCCTAACGATTCCTGGCTCTAGAGGTAGTTCGTAGAAATTGAGCATGGTACGAAGATTTAAGCTGGCCGCCACAACTTGTTTTCCATACATCACTGTATGCTCTCCACATAAGATAATCCTACCCGGTGCCGAAATTTGAAATGAAGTCATATTTTCTGTGTATCAAAATCTCTACTTCGTCAAAAGATCGATAAGATGATAATAAAATTTTTAAACCGCAACTTTTAGAGATAGATATTAAAAAATGTATATTTATATATACAATTTGATGAAAAGAGGTTATTGAGAAAATATTTGTTCGTTTTATATAAGTTGAAGGAGCGTAACGTCAGATATATATAACAAAATGTATAATGTGTCACTAATAAATTATCGAATTATATCGATACAAAGCAAAAAAATACACTTAGATCCAATCGGATTTTAATTCATTCCAATTGTTTTTATTCTCTGCGAACTAAAATCTTCTAAATCCTCTGTCACAATTCGTCTTCGTTTCTTCCATCAAGATTGTACACAAGTTTGAGAATACAATATATTTACTATTAAACTATTAAAATTATTTATATAAAAATAGAAAAAGAGGAGCCACTAATATTAAAAATTATTTGAGACGTTTCCGCAAGGTTTTGATGTTGTTCAAGTCGCGTTTCGATCATGACTGATTTTGTCTCATGAAATTCTCAAGTAATAACAGCGTTCCGAATATGCGAACCAAAATATTGACAAGGTTGAAGTTTTTAAAGAAGAATTATACTAAATGTATTTACTTTTTTCACATAATCTGACATCATATATTATTTGCAATGATAGAGTCAAACAAATTGTCAAATATTATATAAATGCATTGATACAATTTACCTACTTTTTTATTATCACAGTTTTACACACAATATATATATATATATATATATATATATATATATATATATGTGTGTGTATGTATGTATGGTATATAAAAAAAATATGCTTTGACGTAGATTGTTACATAATTAAGATGTATCATTAAGGGTAGTATTAGTTGTCATTTGAATTATATTGTTTAGATGTTTAATATAATTATATAATTTTGATACACATAAAAATAAGCAGCGCTATTGTTATTTTATAAATGGTATTGTGTAAATTCGATTAAGTAAAATGCATTATCAACTCCGGCTCGAAAGTCAAAATCTGAAGAATGCTGATACTTTTTGTTACTAACTTTACTTACAAATAAAATTTTAAACTATAAAAAAATAAAGGCAAAACATAAGATTTCACAGAACTCTATCTTAATAATGTTTCTTGGATCATCAATTAATTCAACGAATTTAAGAGTGGTACGAATTTAAGAGTGGTACGAAGATCTAAGCTGGTTGCCACAACATGTTTTCCGTACATCACGTGTTCTTCACATAATTCTTCATTTTACCTATAGTGCTTGAAATTTATTCCCGTGTTATACCACTCTACGCATTTCGGTCGTGACTGATTTCATTTCAACAATAACAATGTTTTCAAGGCGCGAACTTTAATATCGATGTTAAAGTTTTTTAATGCTTTCATCAAAAGTCATTCAAACGTACATGTAAATATATTTATATTTATTTGCAAGTAATCAGAAAATAATTAAATGTATCATTTTCGATTAAAATTATCTCATTTTCATTGACATAATGTACGTGACATTTAAGCAATATTGCAATATATGTACACAATATCTATTACAAATAAAAATTTACTTGAACTTTGTTAATCAATATAATTGATAGAATCAAAAATGCAATACCTACATTATTCAAACTATATTGTTTAATAGTATTTAATTAGATAATTTTGATTGTAAATGATAAATACCATTATTCTTTCTATCTTTGTTATTTCGCAGATCGCATTTGTACATACATAAAGCTTAATTCAACTCAATAATACGTATCATGGTACGGAGCAGGATATAATTTTACCTCTTTTCATTCATTTTTTTAAAAATAAATAAATTTTCAATCTATAAAACTAAAAACAAAAATGGAATATAGATGATTAATATTTCTTTCTTTATCTCTAATTATTTTATAATTCTAATTCTCTTGTAATAATACATAAAGGTATTTTATATCGTTGTAAATTTTTATTGCATAACGCATTATTATTAACGCAAAATCGAAATTTGTTGTCGCCTTTTTATAATTCATATATAATTAATAAATAATTCACATTTTAATTATATATAATTATTTTCATACAATTATATATATATTTATATAAATTCATAATACATATATTTAAAATTACATATATTTATTTGTAATAATATATGTACATATAATTATTCATATATAATTATATATATAATTATAACTCTTATAAAAATTAATAAATTATGATTTTACATATATTAAATAATTTATAAATTATAAATTTATAATAAGTTATAAGTAACTCATATACTATTTCGAAACATGCACTTTATTATCACTATTACAGTTTCCGTTGTTTTACTAAATCCATGTTAAGTAATAATAAAGAAATAGATAATTTCTTTAAGCAATTTATTAAACTAAACTTCTTACTATCATTTTATAAGCTTTATTAGTTCTTTTCGTATGTCATTTTATTCGACAATAATAAAATATATCGAAAATAGTCTCATTTATTATTATGAATTAATAACAAATGCATGTATAACTAATCTACATGTCTAAAACTAAATCATATATAATAATTGATCATAGATATGCAAGGCATTTCATAATTTGCTTTCACGAATTACATAACATTGTTATTTGTTACAAAATGGAAAATAAGTTGAAAAACTTTAAACTACGAAGCAGAGAGAATATAGTCACGCGTATTAATAATCGTACAGCTATGAACATAGATCCGTCTAATAAACAATAACAAGTGAATTTTATTTCATGAATTCTATTTTACTAATTTTTTATTAATCATTACAAATAAAATAATTTAGTACTAATCGACCCACTTTTTATTCAGTAATAGCATTATGTAATTTATAAACTTGAATTATGAATCCTATGTATATCTATTAATTTGCGAACTGAAAAAGACTGCAGTATGTTTTATTGCCTCGCAGTTATTATCTTGGCAACATCTTTGTTCAATTTGCACTTTCGAAATAACGGGATAACATACGAAAAAAGAAACTAATATCGACATATTCGACATATTTTAAAATATTCAATTAGTCCTTATTTTGAACTTCGTAACCTAATACGGTGTCAATCACAAACAATAAACTGTAAATAAAAGACTATATTAAACAAAAGTGCATGTTGTTCTTCATTTGAAACACTACAGTAGTAATGATTCGAGTTAATAATTGTGTCACAATTTTGTTTACATTTATTGTTAGCTATTGTTATTATTTATTTATTTATATGATTATAATCAATAAATTTAATATTAGTCCTCAATTCTTACTCCGTCACAACCTATGCTAGTTATCATAACAGGGAAATCATATGACTCCATCTCTGCGGAAATATTATCAATTTGTTCTTCTGAAATACCTGGTCGTAGCAAAATGCATGCAAATTTCTTTTCACCATCACCTGTAAGTTTTCCCGTGGAATCATAACCATAATCATGTGAAATATATAAAATATCATCCAATATTTGATTGGACAAATTTAATTTACATAGCACATGTTGATTTGATAAAACAAGGATCTGTAAAGTGTTAAAAAATATAAATTTAAAATTAATATTGCATTTGTATCGGATAATTATATTTGCAAATCTAATAAATGATATTACACAAAAACATTATATAACGAAGTAAAATCGTTATTTGTAAAGAAGTGAAAAAGATACCTTTAATATTATGAACTGTCGAACTAAAGCTTGTAAATTGTTATTTCTCTGGCTAATAACTATTTCATGTAATCTGTTTGAAATAATTCTTGATATTTTATTTATATTATCCAAATGGCGATCGGTAAACTCGGGAAAAAGACATTTTAGTCGTGCCATATACTCTATTTGATCGTACTTATTCTGGCGAACAGTCGAATCAACCAAGAGAACCCTCATTTTTGGCATTGGGAAAGTGAATCTATTGTGATGAAGGTAGCCCAACAATTGATATATTATAGCTACGTTACCGCTTAAACCTACAGAGGAGTCCAACAGACACATAGAGCTCCGTGTACCTTTTCTGCAGTACATGGCAGATGCCCCAATCACTCCTAATTCTTCCATACTAAATTTATTATGGTCACCTCTCTGTAGACGCGACCAATGTAGAAAGCATGCCGCGAGACATAGCGCAAACGATGTCGAGCTGCCAAAACTAGCTTTCATTGGTATTTCCGTCGTCACATGTACGTAAAAAGATTTTATATTAAGTTGCTCTCGATGAACGATATAAAAAAGCGTGAAAAAAAACATTTGTAAACTAAATCTTTGCTTATATGTACTCCACATACCGTTTGAGGTAATAAAGTATTGCACATATTTAAACAAGCGGACTCTATTCATTCCAATAATAGCATAACTAGAGAGGAAATTTTCAACTAGTTGCAAAGGTAATTTCAATGATAAACCGACATCAGGAAATTTTATCTTACAAATGCCTCTTAAATTATTAATTAATTCGGTGAATTGAAGTGTAGTACGACGATTTAAGGTGGTTATCACAACGTTCTTTCCATATATCGCTGCATACTCTCCACTTAAGATAATTCTACCCGGTGCGGAAATCTTAAATTCAATCATCCTTTTTAAGAAGAATATTTCCTTTTGAATAAGAATATTTGCTTTTTTACAAAATGGAAGTTACAAACAGTATCGTTGAACAGTAGAGCGTAGAACAATAAATTTGCGTGCCTCTTATAAACATTTATTAAAACCATGCAAAATGTATTTACGTAACATGTATTCATATGTGTTCATGTAACAAAGATATGATATATTTGTCGCTCCTTATCACTCTGCACAAATGCATATCAGTTATATATTTATATAACAATAAGAAATTCATCAAATTGATATACTTGCAAAAAGAATATTTAATCAGATTCTCGGTTTTTTCTCTTCCTTTTTATCAGCAGATTGATCGTAATTAATTTCTTCTTTCAAGATTTTACACATAAATCGGAATGATACATTTTCATCTATGATATTGAATTCTTATCATGGGCTAAATGAAATAGTTACTGACAATAAAAATTTGAAACGTTTGTTCTGACATGAGGCAATGTTTATATTTTTTGTTGTATAAATTTCTATCATTTTTTATTTTGCCTAAATATAATAACAATTCCTCGAAATCATAATTCTAAATATGAATTTCAATAACAAATTTTGTCAATATTTTTATAAGAAGTTATTAAAACAGACATGATTTATAAAAATATTACGTTATATATTATTTTTATAAATCATGTCTCTCTTTTAATAACTTCTTATAAAAATTTACTTTCAATGTCAAAAAGTTGCTTTCAATGTCATAAACACATTGTCATTATCTCACTGCATTTAAAATAATATTTCATATTGCAATTTTACAATATGCACGAGTTTTGCACATACACGAGTTTTACATATACTCATATAAATATAGTAAGTATAAGTATAAGTATATGTATATAACATATAACATTTATGTAACATTTTATATGGAAGAAATAAAAAATGTAACGCAAATATTTCTCTACTAAAATACATTTAATTTCATTCCATTTTATAATTTTAACGTAAAAACTTACCAGTGCTATTTTTATTATTTTATATGGATCACGTTGCATTAAATTTAATTTAATTAAATAAGATGTAACATTAACTTCAGATTTCAAGAGATTATTCGAAATGGTTTTTTTTATTAATCCTTCTTATAAAATTTTACCCTATAAAACTCAAAATTTAAACAAGAATGTGCAACAGTTCTTTTTTTCGAATTATTCCTATGTATCGCGCAAAAATCCACAATAAATTTACCAAATTAAAAGTAGAATACATATTTATCATTATTAGCATGAAAAAATATTTTATTGTTATTTTTCCATTCAATATAACGCGATAAATCATTATTATATGTATTTATTTGACGATTATGCTTTTTGTATTTTTTTCACGATCACGCTTTTTACTTTCCCGTCAAAATTCCTGTTTCTTCCTTGCTGTTATATTGAACGATGACATAAACGACAAGACATAATGATTTCTTTCCTACAAGACATATATAGAAATAAATTAGGTTTTTCCTGTGTTTTCAACGTATTGGACTTTAGTGTAAATATGTGTATAGCAAAAGATCCTCTTTTTCGTTATTTTTCTTTGTTAGTAAATGCATATATAATTCATCTATATGTGCTCAGTTCATAAATAAACTATATATCAATTGATCAAGGCATACAACTATTATAATTAAGCTATGAGTCGAAAAAAGGTGTATTTTGGTATATTTTTATTAGTTACGGCTTAATACAAGACAAATGTCGTTTGATGAATTTATACCTTCAAAATGAAATATATATAAAGTAAATTCCTTTTTACAATAACAATAATATATAAAATATTATATAACAATAGCCTATCACATCTAACTTCGTAATTCATAACGTAATTTGTAATTCAAATATGATCTCTACAAGAAAAATCCGAAATCTTAAAAGTAACAAGATATATTATATAAAATTATTTATTGTTTGTTCTTTCCGTTTCATTTACTTTCTTATGATGATTGCTAATCTTCCTACAGTCCTCATATTTAATTATTACTTAACATTAACTTAAAATTATTACTTAATGATCTTAATTCTCAATCGTCCTCAATCGTCCTCAAACTTTTTTACAACTCACGATGTAATGAAATTTTTGCCCTCAAATGTTGAATAAGATTTATGATAGATTCTCTTTTACTAGGAATTCTATCCGATGGCAGTAGGAGAATGTATACATATGTATACATACTTCTACTTATGAGTTTTCCTATAAACTCATAGTGTTATGCAATCGAACAAATAAATCATTGTGATTCTCCAAACTCGAACGGGACAACATTAAACAATAGAGCATTAATAGATCTATTTTAAGAAGTACCTGCAAAATAGTGAGAAATCTAAATTAAAAAATGATTTAAAACAAATATCGATGGATAATCATCCACTTGAAATTCTTATAACCGCAACTATAGTAACAGTAATTGAAGAATTTCTATCTTGATAATTTTTAATTTTAAGTATATCACAAGCCCCTTTTGATATATAATCGATAGCATTCAAAGTGATATTGACGGCCTAGGGAACACAGTGCATCATGTGCGGCAATTGATTGATCTGTTCGCGCTTATTCTGACGAGATTTTGATTCGACCAACAGAATATTGATTTTCGGCGTATTTATAATTTTAATATTATCCAGCTTGCATATTGAAATCTAAATATTTTATGTACATACATCGGAATTTTTCTCGAGCGTAAAGTTTTGTAAAACTTCCTCACAAAACACGAAGCGTATTTTGAAATCTTAGCTAAGTCATACGTATTAAATTGATTGTGGACATCTTTTTGTAGACGCTTCCAATGTAAAAAGCATACCGCGTACAATGTTGAACTGCCAAAACCAGCGTTGATCATTACGTGTCAAGTGCACGTAAAAAGGTTTTACAGTGAGTCCCTCTTTCCGAGCGATAATCAATAAGAAGAAAAAAAAGTTTGTAAACTAAATCTCTGTGCGGGTATGATGTCCACAGACCGTTTAAGATGATAAAATATTGCATCTAAGAAACAGGATATAATCATTGACAACCAAATTAAAATTCTCGTCGAAAATAAAATTTACAATCATTTGTAAAGGTGTCTAACGATATATGTCTAACGATATATCGACATCTGGGAATTACATTTTAATGATTCTTGACTCTAGAGATAGTTGACGGAATTTGAGCGTGATATAAGAATCTATACTGGGGTCGCTATAATATGTTTATCATATCAACGCCAAAGATTCTCCGTATATGATAACTCTGCCTGGATGCACAAAGTTGGAAATCTTTTCAATTTTTTAGCGTCGTCCATTTTTTCGAATAAAAATCTCCACTGTCTAAAAAGATCAATAAGTATGTATTAAAGGCGTAAGAAATAAATCTGAGTATTTCAGTTCTTTTATAGAGATTTATCAGAATTAAATAATATTTATGTAACATGAAGAAAGTCACCGAGACCGTAGATATAAATATTTGTCGCTCCTTTTATGTTTTATATAAATTAGAAATACATCGGCTATGCGTGACAAAAAATTAATGATGACAATAATTTCTTCAACATTGAATTTTTATTCCGTACACAAGAGACACGCTTACAATTTAATTAGATTTTCGTTCTTTATTGTTGTTTATTATTGTGTTGTTAACAGAAATTATAAATTGTTTTTGCTTCTATTTTTAATGCTTCACTTACAAAATAAGTCTGTATAATACATCGTTTCCGCACAAAATACTCTTCATATTTCGTGTTGTACTGTACAATCTCATGTTCTGATACTCACTAATTTCGTTTCAATAACAATAACAGCGCTACAAAATAAACGTAAATATCGCACGATTATCAAAACTTTTTAATATTTCAATAATAAGTTATTAAATCCGCGCGAAATTTATATTATACATACATTTTATAATATATAATATTATATATTATAATAATATATTATAATAATGTTATTATATGTTACAATAATATTATAGATTATAAATTATGATAATATTAATATTATGTATTATAAAAATCATTTTTAAAGATATGTTACATGCAATATGACAAACAAATTATCATTATTTATTTGCATTAATTGTATGTGATATTTATATATCGACGCTTTACAGTAAATGTACAAATGCATATATATATATATATATATATATATGTATATATATGTATATATATATATATATATGTATATATGTATGTATATATATACACAATATATTTCCGATGAACATATTTTATGTAGCAGATATAAAAAACAATAAAAAACGAAATTTGAAAAAGAAATTTGATATAGATCATTTTTTAATTAATGTCTGAAATAAAAACGCAATACTCGTATATCGACTTACATCGTTTAATATAATTCAATCAAAATAAAATTATGATGCAAGAAGTAAGCAAAATTTTCCTTGTTTTTTTGGATAAAGCTTAATTCGGTTAGTAATAATAAGTACAGTATATCATGTAATTCCGACTGAAAAATCAATTTCGGAGTAAAAGAGCGATACTTGTTCTATAATAACTTTTTTCGAATAGACAAAATTTTAACTTATAAAGCTAAAGATAAAATGAAAACATAAAATGAATATTTTTT